TATACATACTTCTATGGAGAAAAAGGTGAATTATAAGTATATTTAATAAAATGAAACATCTTTATTACTCCATATTGTTTACAACGTATCACCCATTGATAATGGTACTCCAATAAATAATATTTCATACTCCGAACGCAATAGCAATGTCAAATAAAGCACATTTTATATATTAGTTGTTCTTTCATTTACTCATTATAGTTATTATATCAAACATCTAACATACTAACCCATTATTTTATTTGAAGAAAATATATTTCTAATTATTTAGAAGCTTTTCTCGTGTGGACCGGCTCGGCCCAAAGCCCGCGGGTAGCTATGCAGGCCGGGTCTGGGCTTCAATTGTTAGGCCCGCCATATGGGCCAGGCCAGGCTCGCGCAAATAAAATTTTCATAATGTCACATCTTGACCCAGTGTGGCCCGCACTTTGATCGGGTCTACCTGTGAGTGACCAACATCTGGGGGTTAGGACGGAAGATCATTGCCTTTTGCAAGCCAATTTGGGTTCGATAGGCTTTCTTGGAAACGAAGAACATAAGTTCTACAAAGGTAGGGATTTTAAAACCCGAAATCGATGTTAAATCTTTATTCTCACCGTTTTACGATCTAGGATTGAGAATTAGTTTGGTAGATTTGCACATTTAATTTGTTTCAGTTCTGAGAGAGTCAAAATATTTTCTAAATAAATTTTATATCTAAAATATTACTTTGTACATTTTAAATTTTGTTGATTGAACGCCATAAATTAAAATTTATTTTTTGCTTAATATCTCTTCTCTTGATTAACTTGCTTGTGATATACTCTTTAAAAATGTGAAGCTACAATTATAGGGAGGAAATTTTTTGTTATATTGGTGTAAAGGGAAAATTTTTGTAATGGGTCTTTTAAATATAAGCTCAATCTTCTTTGGAATATATATTCACAATGAGCTTATCTTAAATAGGTTCTCTTGTATTTGTTGCTTGTTTCTATGTACCAAAAGCAACTCAAAGATTTCCAACTCTATAAAGTATAAACTCATCACTTATTAGAAATAATGTTTTTAAGTTCTAAAGGAAAAAACAAAATGATCCAATCGAAATACAGAGTATCAAATTTTAGAGATATTTGAACAAAGAACTCTATTAAAAACAAAATGTGTTTATAAGATTTTGCATCCCTTTAATTTGAATCGTTAAGGGACCACTAGATCAAAAATAACGTATGTACTGATTATGTACCCTAAGCTATGAGGACCAAAGAGACTGAGATGGAGATATGGAAGAGAGGTGACAAGTGTGTGTGTGGCATCCATACTCTCTCCCTGCCAAAATGTTTAATCCAAAATATTTGACACATTTATTTTTTCAACAGTCGCGGAAACTTTTGTTTATTTATATGTTTTTATTGATTATTTGATAGAGTAAAATATTCTTGACACTTCTTATTTCGAAAATTTTTTAATGTAGTTTTAAAAATGTAAATCTTTCAATATATTTCTATATTAATATTTAAATAAAATTAATTAAAAAAACTTGATATTTTATCTCTTTTTTTTAAAAGTAGTAAACATTTAGGAACTGAGGGAGTATTTTAATATACACTCTTCCCCTCCTTAAAAAGATGTGAAATTTGCACTAATTAGGACCAAAACATAAGTCATTTCCCAATGTAGGACTTAAACTTTTTTATTCCATAAATAAGACTTAATAAAGATTAGTGAGAAGAATAATGTCCAAGTAATGCTGGTCATGTAGTTGAATAATGACTAAACGATAATGACCAATGATTTTACATTAGGAAATAAAAACATATGATCTTATATTGAGAAAGTCATTATGTTTTAGTCCTATTTAGCTAAATTATCCTTTTAAAAATATTTTTATAAATGATACCAAATTTAAGTGTTTTTTCTTGAGTGGCATAAATCATTTTTTCAATGAAAAATTAGATTCATTTTTTTGAATAATTTATTGTACAATTTCACAACTTTTGTTATAAAATTTACTCCCTCCGTTTTAAAAAAAAGTTCATATTTTGACCACGTGTAAATATAAGAAAAATATCAAGTTTTTTAAATTTATTTTATTTACAAAATTTACCACATTTGTATTCCCAAGGCAAAATATTTATAAAATTTACTCCCTCCGTCCCTAAATATTTGCCACATTTGTATTCCCAAGGCAAAATATCAAGTTTTTTAAATTTATTTTATTTGCATATTGGTGTAGAAATAGAAAATAAAATTTACATATCAAAAAACTACATGAAAAGTTCTTCGAAACAAGAGGTGTCAAGAATATTTTATTTTATCAAATAACCAATGAAAAAGTAGAAATAAACAAAAGTTGATGCAACTGCTGAAAAAACAAATGTTGCAAATAATTTGGAACGGAGGGAGTATTAAATTGTAGTTGACTTCCAATTTTGTCTTTGATGATGGGTAAAAATAAGATATGATGGATAGATTATTAGAGAAAAATATGATCTGATAGGTAGGGTATAAAAAGTAAGGGTAAAAGTAGTTTTTTAATAGAAAGTGAAAGTGTTTTGTTGGAAGTGAAAAAAAATGAAAGATGATGTGTTTTTGAGAACGTGGGGATTACATATTTAAAAAATATACACCCCCCGTCCCAAAATATTCTACTAAACAAGAGGTGACAAAAATATTTTATTTTATCAAATAATTAATGAAACACAAAAATAAATAAAAGTTCCCATAAATTTTGAATAGTGAAAGATGTAAAACATTGTGGGATGGAGGGAATATTATTTTGAAAAAATTATTATTACCAGATCATCGATTATAGAAATAAATAATTAGTGTCACTCTGGGGAAAACTTAATTTTGGTACTATTTAAAATAAAATTAAAAAATAAATTTAAAATTAAAATTTAAAAAAATGAAAAAAAAAGAGAATTTACCTAAAATAATCACATATTTCATTTATTTACAAAAATAAGTACGGAGTATTTTCTAAAAATTTCATTAAGTAACTGCTAGCATCATCACGACGACCCAAAAGTCACATACATGAGGAAATATGTGATTATTTTTCGTGACAATACAAAATGAGATGATTTTTGGAAGAACTCCAGAAATGGAATCATTTGAGATAATTCGTTGTTTTATTTAAATGAGTAATAAAATTAAACAAAGAAAATATAACGTGCTCGGCGTTACTTCTGACCTTACATTCTTAAAAAGAATGTCGAATTGAAGGAGTGCATTCCCCGGCACGTACATCGATAGCGGATGTTTACGCTAGTCTCAACTCTCAACTTTTGGTTTTCAACGGAAACCATTTCAAAAACCACGTCCCAAAAAATGAAGAGTTATTTATTACACACATAAGACTTAAATATATCTTTTTTTAAAAATATAATTAATTTTATCTATTTCAACATTTGACAATGTAAAGTTCTAAAATGTATGGCCTTTGAAATTTAAAAAAGACATATTACATAATTCAAGTAAAATAATACTTCCTCCGTCCCATAAAGATGGATACATTTTGACTAAAGTAGAAATTAAGGAAAGAATAATTTTGTGTTGACTTTCCAAAAATACGCTTGATGTGATGGGTAAAAGTAGGATGTGATGTGTAAATTATTAGGAAAAAGGTATGATGTGATAGGTAGGGTTTGAAAAGTAAGGGGTAAAAGTGAGTTTTTAATAGAAACGAGTAAGGGATTGTGGGGCACAATTTTTTTGAAACGTGTAAATCTTTTTGGGATAGAGGGAGTATATTATTAAAAACAATTTAATTGTCATTGAAATAATCAGTTATTATCCAACACTTAGCTTATTGCTAATGACCATATTCTTAGACTCATTAGTATAATCATATTAGTTATTTTCCAACACTTATTGCTAATAAAGCCATACTAGTATATGGTAAATCATATCAAATTACGTGTCATAAGAGAAATAAAATATATTTGGTGTCATAAGAGGCATCGTGACGACATAAAAATGCAGTATTCTCACGATAAAATCTATTCTCACAATAAGGATCATTCTCACTTGAACACAGACACATATATGTATGTATGTATATGTATGTATGTATGTATGTATGTATTATCCATCCATTAAAAAAGAAGCTCAATATTGCAGATTGCGGCATTTTCATAAAAATAAATTCCATAAGTAGTTTTATAAGTGAGGTTTTTCATATTTAATCCTTTATATTGCATCATTTACAACATTAACTCTTTACTTAACAGCAAAAACACGGAGAACAGACTGAGTGTGAAAGAGGATCAAATAAAAAGTGCTCGAAACATAATACTCTCTCCGTTCCAAAAACTCATTTCTTTTCTTTACTTGTCCGACAAAATCTTCCTCATTTCTATTAAAAACCTTATTAACTCTAGAGTAATTTACCTAAATAAGACTAAAACATAATGACTTTCCCAATATAGTACCATATGTTTTTATTTTCCAATTTAGGAGTTTTGGTCATTATTAATTAGTCATTATTCAAGTAAATGTCCATCATTACTGGACATTATTCCTCCACTAAGACATTATTAAATCCTATTTAGGGAATAAAAAAGTTTAAGTCCTAAATTAGGAAAGTCATTATGTTTTATTCCTATTTAGTGCAAATTTCACTTAACTCTAAACTTAAATATCACATCATACTATTTTACTAATAATCTACAAATCATATCTTACTTGTACATATCGCATCAATAATATTTTTGGAAAGTTAACACAAAAATACAATATCACTCCAAAAAATTAAAAGTCAAAATTAGAATATTTTTGGGACAGAGAAAGTATTAGATAATTATGATTTTTGTTGTGATGTGGAGTACATGCATGAATAATAAAAAAAACGTATCAAATGACGAGGACACAATAACCCGACGAATTGCAAATAATCTGAGCACAAATTAACGATATAATATAAGGTGGCGTGAACGAACAAACAAACAAACAAAGGATCTAACACCAGTTGTGCGAATCAATCCCAAAAACGTAAGCAACTCCAACAAAAGCGCGCACACCGCAAGCATACATCCCAAAGGTTAGTGCATCTTTTTCCTTACTGGGTTCAGACTTTGCATATCTTTGTGCAACTATGAGTACATATGCTCCTACACCACTTGAGACCCTGCACAACACAAGTGTTGATGTAGATAGGTAGGTGTGTGTGTGTTGTGTGTGTCTATATATGTGTGTGTGTGTGTGTATGTATGTATGTATGTATACATGTATGTATGTATGTATGTATGTATGTATGTATGTATATATATATATATATATATATATATATATATATATGTATGTATGTATACGTATGTATGTATGTATATGATATGCTACGGTCAAATGACAAAAAGCTCAGATCACCATTGCCAACTATGTATGTATGTATGTATGTATGTATGTATGTATATGATATGCTACGGTCAAATGACAAAAAGCTCAGATCACCATTGCCAAGTATAAAGCTCACTCACATCAACTGCAAAGCTTATCACGCTATATAGCAAATTTCACCTATTTTTTATTAAAAAAATTAACCTAAAACTTTGCTGAGTTTTGTGTGTGTGTGTTTGATGGGCTTTGTAGTGAGGATTCATGAGATTTGTTCTTAAAGTTTGTGAACATTGAAATTTCAAAGTTTTAAAAAATCAAAGTGTGAAGAAATCATGGTGAGCTTTCTCATACATTTTAATAAGCTTCGCAATAATCTTTGGTAAGCTTTGTAGTGATCGATGGTGAACTCCAGTGTCATCTGACCGTAATATGTCATATTACGGTAAGGTGTCTATATGACTCTGGAGTCTTTTTAGAAAATCAAAAGAAAAAAGATTTTTAGAGAGAGAGAGAGGATAGAGTGATTATATTATTAGAGGAATTTACCTAAATAGCACTAAAACATACTCCCTCCGTCCTATAATGATCTTCTCGGTTCGCAAAACGAAGAAAAATCCCAAGTTTTTTCAATCTATTTTATTTAAATATTGGTATAGAAATAAAAAATAAAACATACATATTTAAAAACTACACCAAAATTTCAACAAAACAAGTGGTGACAAGAATATTTTATTTTACCATATAGGCCATGAAAAAACACAAATAAAAATAAATTCCCGTGAAGTTGGAATAGTGATCTGGGAAGATCATTATAGGACATAGGGAGTAATGACTTTCTCTAAATAGCACCATATGTGTTTTATTTCCCAATGTAGCACTTTTAGTCATTATCGAAGTAAATGATCGTCATCACCGGTCATTATTTCTCCTTCTAGACATTATTAAGTGCTATTTAAGGAATAAAACAATTTAAGTACTATTTAGAGAAATGACTTAAGTTTTATTATTATTATTACTCAAAACTTACAGTCTGAATAAAAAGAAAAGCAGTGTAAAGAGGGAGACGACATTTTTGACACGCTCAGTTTCTTGGTTAACACCCCGCCTGGCAAAGCAAAATGAAAAGATGGTGGAAAGCACGAAAGATATAATAATGGCCACCACTGTTCCAATGGCTGCTCCTTTCTCGTTCCTCCCCTTTATTCACTTTGTTGGCCTATTTTTGTGTCTTATTTGATAAAATAATATATAATCATGTTACCTCTAGTTTTGTAGATTATTTCATGTAGTTTTTAAATATGTAATTTTTATTTTTTAATTCCATATCATATTTCATATAAAATGATTTGAAAATAATTTCAGCCAAACATCGTAACGCGCAATGAAAACTTTATTTGTGGACGGAGGGAGTATATATGGCTGGGGTGGGGGGTTTTGGGGGAGGGTTAGGGGGTAGGAACCGTCATTTTTACAAACGGGGCACCTTAGGTGCATATTCCAAACGAACGGGTGTAAGCAACTGATGTATAAGTAACTGCTGGTATCATTTTAGATGCTTCTATATATATATATATATATATATATATATATATATATATATATATATATATATATATATATATATATATATATATAAAGAGAGAGAGGGAGAGGGAGAGAGAGAGGGGGGGAATAGATTAATAATACAAACCCTATTCTTAAATGCGGAATACGCAAGGTATAGTGCAAGAATATCCAAGAAACAGACGTAAAGTAAAGCGGCAGTCCAACGCTTAAATGCGGCAGCGCAACCTCGTGCCGGCGTCGTGCCGTCGGCTGGCAGGCCCCACATCGCGCTGCCCCCGTAGCGGCTTGCGGTGTCCCCCATATTGAAGTGTCGTAATGATTATTACTCATATATACTCTTTGAGTGCAGTGGTAAGGCAGCTATATTTTTATATTTATATGTGTGTAGTGGGGGCCGGGGCTTAGTGAGAATGTGATGAAGAGAAGTGACAAGTGTGTGTGTGTGTTGAATTTAAAATAGAATAATGATCACTTTGTAGAATGCACTTCATGCTTTCTGTTTCTTTAAACACTTTTGAACAAGTCTTTCCCATTTTTACGTTCAAAAGAAAAAAGTTGCCAACTCACTCCACCTTGGTACGTATATGGCAAATCTTTCCTTTTCCATTTGGAGTAGCTAAATTTCACCCTTGTTTCTTTTAAGTTATTGCACTTCGTACGGTTAGTCGTTCAATTTTGAAAATTCCATTAATATATAGTCATTCAAGTTATGTAAACGGCTCATGATTGGTCTTTTAACTTTGGAAATTCTACTAATAGTATTTCAACTCACCTTATTAGCTTTGCATGGTTGGTCCTTGCATTAATTTTTCCATTAGTCCATGCATTTCTTAAAATTATATATTTTTCCATTTTAAATACACGTGAGAATCCTTTTATTCTTCATACTCCCTCCGTCCCCCAGTTTTTGTCCACTTTCATTTTTGCACACCATCCAATGCACTTCTTTAATTCATTTTATCTTGTAATTTGTATATTAAAAAATTATAGAAATTATATATTAATAATCTACTCCTTCCGTCCCAAAAACCCTTTCTCCTTTCTTTTTTTATCCGTCCCAAAAAACTTTTCTCCTTTCTTTTTTTATCCGTCCCAAAAAACATTTCTCATTTCTATTAAAAAGTCACTTTTACCCCTTACTTTTTCATGCCCTACCTATCACATCATACCTTTTTACTAATAATCTATCCATCAAATCATACTTTACCCATCATATCAAAGGACATTTTTGGAGATTCAATACCAAAATACACTCTCCTTAAATCCCTCTCCAAAACCAAAACTCTCATGTTTTCCGCGACAGAGAGAGTATATGTTAAGACAAATCAAACAAGATCATACATGACTATATTTAGGCTTACACATTGAGAGAATTTGATGAGTCAAAGTGCTTAGATGAACAGTTCCAAAAGTCAAAAGTGGACAAAAACTGAGGGACGGAGGGAGTATAATGGGTAAATTTCACAAATGGTACCTGAACTTTAGCTGTAATTTCGAAGTGGTACCTGAACTTCAAATCCTCTCACAAAAATCCCTGAACTTACACAATCCTTTCATTAATGAGCCATTAGCCCGTTTCTAGGTTAACTTCCGGTCATTAGGGCCAAATTCGAATTTTATATATTTTAAAATTTTCAATTTGACCCCATTTCTTCTTTTCTTTTCTTCCACGCCCCGCCGCCGCCGCTCGCTGGTCAAAGTCGCCGGAAAATGAACTTTTTCCGATTCCGGCGGGACCAATGTCATTCTCTTCGTCTTGAGACGAGGATCAATAATATCCAAACCATTTTGAATTTGGCCCTAATGACCGGAAGTTAACCTAGAAACGGGCTAATGGCTCATTAGTGAAAAGATTGTGTAAGTTCAGGAATTTTTGTGAAAGGATTTGAAGTTCAGGTACTACTTCGAAATTCCAGCTAAAGTTCAGGTACCATTTGTGAAATTTACCCGGAGTATAATTTAACCATATTTATTATAGGTCTATTTTTAATAGTAATAGTTACTCTTACTTTAATTACTCAAATTCTTAAATAATATAAGTTACTTTTTTAGTTTAATTATATTAAAAAATATCACTCCGTCTTAATAATTTTATCAAGTTTTAACTTTTTACATTCAAAAAGGTTGATTTTTTAAACCAATGTTTCAATAAAAATAAATCTACAAAAAATATGACTCAATTGTATGAAAAAGAAAAAAATTTTGACGTGTATTTAAAATAAAAAGTGAAAACAATGCATTGCGTAACAACATAATTAACTGAAGGACCAATCATGCAACACTAAGTTACTTGAAAGACTATCAATGAAGATTTTAAAGTTAAAGGACTAATCATGCAAGACTAACATAACTTGAAAGACTATTCGTGAAATTTTCAAAGTTAGAGTGGAAAGTGAGTTCGCCTTCGAACTTAGCATTTTGATTTTGCCTTTCCTTTTCCTATTTTTTCTTCTTCATCCCCGCAGATGTTGCCTCTCTTCTTCTTCTTTGATTTTGACAGTGTAGAATTTATATATGAAATCACTGTCACATAAATTAATGGACATTACACTATAACATGAAATTAAGGAACGAACACAATAATACATTTACACACTGCCGTAATTAAGATATAACAAAATATATACATTCTACACTGCCAAATTAAATACTCACATATAAAAAACTACACTGCCCACTACACAATTACGAATGAACAGCTACACTGCCCAAAACAATCATATTTTTTGGCAGTGCATAATGAAAATTTGCTGTTTAATTAAAGGTCAAAATCAGAATCACAGATACGAAACATATAGCACTGCTATTTAGAGTATTTTAGTGCTCCAAGAGTGCTATTTTGGTTTCATCTCTACCCCACAAGAAAATTATTTTTGTCTCTCACTTTTTCTTTTGAATTCTTTGAACAAAGAAAAATGAGGGAACTGAGTCATGTGTTCACTTTGGACTTATGAAGTACTCCCTCCATTTCAAAATGGATGTCTCTATTTTTTTTGAAAGTGGATGTCTTTGTTAATATTAGGACATTTTAATATATTTACTTTTGTTTGCAGTTTGCCTGCATAATTTTATTAATTATTTGATAAAATAAAAAATCTTAGCACCTCTTGACTCTTCTTTTGTACAAAGTATTTGTTACGGAGTATATACTTTTTGAATGATGCAATTTATGAGTTTTATTTCTATGTTAATTTATAGTTAAAATGATTTTAGAAGTTAGTACTAGATATTGCACGTTTTTCGTAAAGTAGGTTATGTTCCCTTTACCTAATCTAATTGGAATAGGTTCTTGTCTGATCTGGTTTAAATGTAGTTGTGTTTAAATTCTGATTTGATCTAATTTGATTTCAATAGGATTAAGTAATAAATAAAAAAATAAGTTTAGAAGAACATAACCTAAGACCCGATATGGATGGAGTACATTGTTCACCTAAAAGCAATAATAGTTTACTTGTGGAGGACAGATTGTAATTACCAAAGAAGAAATCATCATGTATAAGAGTTAAATGAAGCAAAACGATCTACATAGGAGTCCTAATACTCCGTATATTACTCCGGGTTATTAATTTTTACCTGATCGTTTTTTTTAAATCGTAATGTAGTTATGACTGTTAGAGCAACTCCAATGGGAGGGGCATATGAAAGGGTAAAGAGGAATATTTGTGATATATACCTCTTTTCATTAAAAATTATTCTCCAATAGGAGAGGTAAACAAGAATGTATTATACCTTTTTCAATTTTGAAGAGGTATCTTTACCTTCTTCATTTAGGGAAGTATATCAATTTTTCCCACCTTTTAAATTTATTTCATCAATTACTTTAGTTATTGTATTTTTGCTTGAATGTATTATTATAAATTATTAATTTGTATCTTTTTCATTGTAAAACTTAACGAGTCAAGAATTAACAAAAAAGGATACTTTGTTTTTTAATCTTGCACTCTATATTTTTAAGCTTTTTCTATTCGGGTATTTTTATAGTTTTACATGTGTAATTAGACATAATGTATATTTAACTATTTCAAAACTGACATTCTAATTTTTATCCCCAATAAATTAGTTGTATTTTTATAAAATCTTTAAATTTAAAACTTTAATCAAGAAGAAACAAAGGCAACAAACCTCAAATTTACCTCCCCATGATTTTTTTTAAAATGTATATTTTCTTTTCTAATAATTAAAATTTGATTTAAGAAGATAAATCAACTAATTTTTTCCAATAATGTATGGAGATAAATTTTTTCCTCGTTTGCCTTTTGATTTACCTTCTCCCATTGGAGTTGCACACTTTTTAGAAAAATAAACTTGATCATTTGGAAAGGTAAATGAGATATATACCTCTCCAAGACATCTCTTACCATTGGAGTTGCTCTTAGCCACAGGGGACGAATGGCGGTACCACCTGGTGGGCGGGACTGTTCCAGGTTCTGGTCTACTCGTAGCAAAAACTAAAAGCCCATTAATGGGCAGTGAACAAAGATTGGGCCGAAGACATCGACAAGCCGGGCAAAACCTGCCACAGTGCCGCCTACTCATCGCCGTTCGTTGGTTCATCATCATCCTCATCGTCAAACTCTTCCCCACCCCATTAAGAGGAAGAAGAGGCCAAGAACTGAGTCGATCTAGCATCAACGCACGAAATGGAAGGTAAATTTCAAATCTTTACCAGATTCCAATTCTTGGGGTTTTCTTTACTGCCATGTTCTTCAATCACTGACCCTTTTCCCCCCTTGCTTCAAATATGGGGAAAAAATGTACATACTTTCTGTATGATTCAAATTGATAGTTTCTTTTTGCATTTTATGTCTTGATTATGGAGTGATGTCTAGAATATTTTTTATGGATATAATGTTGTTTGCATGTTTCTCTGTGTTAATGTTCTTATGTGTGATGGTAAAAGTCTAAAAGATAGTAGTACTTGCTAAAATGTCCATATATTTTCTATTTATAAGAACAAATGATTAAGGTAGATAAGTAAAGAAAGAAGAAATAGTTTGATTGTGTGAGTAATGAAAGTGAAGTTTATTTAAGGACGGGGGGAGGATTTACTTAATGTATATGCAAAAATAATAATGGTTATAGGATTACCATTGCCACATTCTTCTAAGTTATTGTCAACGGTAAAAACCTCACAACCGCAAAATTTTCAAATTTATGCAGCAATATCAGGAAAGCTTGTCCAACATTATCTGGTAGCAGGGTGCTACCAGCGGAACAAAAAGTTCAGTATTCAATACCGAAAGGACCATTTTGACCTTATTAGGCATGTCCTTCCTCCACCTTTCGCAGGGAAGTTGGCATGGAATAATGGCAACTCCACCATGCGACCTCGTGTGTTGTCAAGTTTAAGACAAGGAAAATTTTACTGCAGTGGTCTGTTCTAGAATCTCACTTCTCAGTTATTAAACCGTAGGCTTTCACTCCCTTGGGAAACTTTGGTTTTTTTCAAAGGATAAGTGTTTATTGGGAGTGCATAGTTTATGTGTCCACTACAAGATATCTCATCAACTTCAAACTGTATTCTTGCAGCTGTACCGTCTAACACGGATGTCCTTTCTGGCAAAAAGATGGATTTTTATAAGCTTCAAAATGGAAGGTATGTTGCTATGTTTTCTATTCGTATTTTTTGTTTCAGTCTGTTTTCTCTACTATATCTATGTTTTCAATTTACTATTGGTGGTTATAAATGTAGTGATATCCGTGGTGTCGCTGTAGCGGGAGTTGAGGGAGAAGATGTTAACCTCACAGATGCTGTTACAGAAGCAATAGCAGCAGCATTTGCTGCGTGGTTGCTGGAGAAGAAGAGACACAGTGGCTCTAGATCTCTGAGAGTATCCGTTGGTCATGATTCACGAATTTCAGCCAAACAGTTGCAGGTATTTTGCCTTTCCTAAACAAAAATTATTTTGTTTTTCGTGATTCGGGTACTAAGAATTGGCTAAGCCCTCTTTCAGGATGCTGTTTCTAGAGGACTTGCCCGCGCAGGCGCTGATGTCATCCAATATGGGTCAGTGATGCGTTCCAGTGACTGTAGCGTGCGTATGAGATTTTATTTTACTAACAGCCTATCGTAATATACAGATTAGCTTCAACACCAGCCATGTTCTATAGCACTCTTACAGAAAATGAAGACTTATGGTGTCCTGCTGATGGATCAATCATGATAACTGGTTAGTATATCCCACTTAAATGTAATGAAAAACTAAATCTAGAAAATGAATAAGGACCACTTAATAATCCAATGCTCACAAGAATGGTTTGAAAACAGCAAGCCATCTTCCTTACAATAGGAATGGGTTTAAATTTTTCACGAATGCCGGAGGGCTGGGAAAATCGGACATCAAGGACATCCTCACGCGTGCTGCAAATACATACAGAAAGGTTGCAGATGAGCAAGAACAGAAATCACATGTCCTTTTCAAAAGGGTTGATTACATGTCTGTTTACACGTCTAATCTTGTAGCAGCTGTTCGCAAAGCTGTTGGCGGTGTAGGTAAGTATTTCATCATTAACTAACTTTCTGCCATTAATGTAAAAAAAAATATTTTTGAAAAGTATATGAGTATATCATTAACATGACCTCTGTACAAATTTATTCAGAAAAGCCGTTGGAGGGATTCCATATAGTTGTTGATGCAGGGAATGGTGCTGGAGGATTCTTCACTGTAAGATAAACGCCAAGTTGCATAGCAGTATTTTTCTTCTTCTTCTTCTTCTTCATTTTTTTACTGGGTTTTAACAGGAAAAAGTTCTTGAGCCTTTGGGTGCCATTACTTCTGGGAGTCAGTTCCTAGAGCCAGATGGTAAGATGTAATCTGAAAGTTCAAGTATAAGCTTAAGAGCGGCCATAAAAAAGTCATCATAAATGTTTTAAAGAAGCTTAGCCTAAACAAACTGAAAAATAACCTTATACGAGTATCGATTTTTTTTCCCTCTCAGGTATGTTTCCAAACCACATTCCTAACCCAGAGGATAAGACAGCCATGAAAGCCATAACTCAGGCTGTACTGGAAAATAAGGCTGATTTAGGCATCATCTTTGATACAGATGTTGACAGGTGAGTAAATTGATGATATAATATCTCTCTCAACACACACACACACATAATGGGAGTTGCCTATTTTCTGATACTTGGGTTCTGGAATCAGGTCTGCTGCTGTTGATTCGAGTGGTCGCGAGTTCAACCGGAACCGCTTGATTGCCTTGATGTCTGCCATTGTTTTGGAGGAGGTAAGTGTGTCTTCTTGGAGCCATTTTCCAATTCTCTAGTGTTTGGTTGTCCCGGAAAACAGGAGTCAATGGACAATGAGTCTTATTTGGAGGAAAATGATTTCTTTTTTTTTCCTTCTAGCGGAAGGCATTTTCCACCCTTCTCCGACTTAGATCAAACGCAGTACATTTTCTTTTGTTATAACAAAAAAAACTAGTATTTTTTTATTCATTATCCAAACTCTCAACGGAACACCAGAAAATGAACTTATTTTCCATCTTTCCAAACGGGCCCTTAGGGTGTGGTTGAATGGATGACTTTTGAGGGGGTTGACGACTTAGTCTATCTTGATAATATGTATATTTGAGAATTTATAAATGTTGTAAAAAAAATATAGACAGAATCTCCAAAACTTTCTATCTAAATAGAACCGTAGACCGTAGTTGCTTCATCCTAGACCTTACAGGTTGCCATCTTCATGACCAGCATCCTGGGACAACCATCGTGACCGATAGTGTGACCTCAGACGGCTTGACAGCGTTCATTGAAAAGAAACTAGGTGAGATCAATTTGGGATTTCGGTCAATATGTTTTCTTTGAAACATCATCAACAGTGCACTGACATGATGAATTTACCTCAACACAGGGGGGAAGCACCACAGGTTCAAAAGAGGGTACAAGAATGTCATTGATGAAGCTATTCGATTGGTACACACCCTACACAAATGTCTGTTCTTTTTTTTTTGTGGCATTGTTAAGGAACCAATTCAACCAGAAGATCAAGCTTGTGGTTGCAGGTCCACGAAAGGTTTTATACTCTTAACATATATGATTGATTCAAGATTCATTATCGCAGAACTCCGTTGGCGAGGAATCACATCTGGCTATTGAAACTAGTGGACATGGCGCTCTCAAGGAGAATCATTGGCTTGACGATGGGGCATATCTCATGGTATACGGTGTTGGGAATAACTCATATTTGGCTACGCATTTTGGTTGATATTAACTCTTGTCAGTCTTGCAGGTTAAGCTTCTGAATAAGCTTGCATTGGCAAAGGCATCCGGAAAAGGGCACGGCAGTGAGGTCTTGACTGACTTGGTAGAGGGCCTTGAGGAACACGCTGTAGCGGTTGAACTCAGGCTAAAAATCGACCAGTATCATTCAGATCTTAAAGGAGGGTATAATGCAACTAAACTACACCCTTCTTTTGCTAGTCTTCGATCTACTACTTTAGTACCAACATTTCATGCTTCCAGGTCCTTCCGCGAGTATGGGGAGGCTGTTCTTGAACATTTGGAGACTGCGATAGACTCTGACGTGAACCTTCAGAAGGCTCTTGTTAACTACGAAGGGGTAAGTAAGTTCTTTGGTTCTCGATTCATCGTCATAATTATGACATCGGTTCAATTGGAACTCCTATGGAGCTCCGATCGAAAAACTACCCCTTAATCTCCTGGTGAACCTCCAACCTTGGCCCGACCCTAACGTACCCTTGCACCTCCGCCAATTGCACTTCGCGAAATTTGTTGACTTTGGGTTAAAATTGTGAACCCAAATTCAACAAAATCTAGGGGGTGTAATTGACGAAGGCGCGGGGGTGCATTAGGCCCAGGCCGGACTAAGGGGGTTTACCGGTGGAGTAGGAACCATCAATTTTTCGATCAGAACACGATAGGTACCCGATGTTCACATTAAAACCTAATGGCAAAAGAATCGCGGTGAATATATATGAATATATATTACCCAATGTACAATATGTCAACAGGTTAGGGCTTCTGGGTTTGGGGGATGGTTCCTTTTGAGGCTCTCACTTCATGACCCTGTCTTGCCTCTTAACATTGAGGTCTGTTTTTCTCCCTATCTTATTGTCAAAATGTAGATCTCATTATATGGTACTAATTAATTCTCAAACTTCGAACCGGTTAGGCAACGAGCAACGAGGAAGCTGCAAAGCTCGGGCGTTTTGTTTATGATGCCGTGAAAGAATTCGGGGCTCTTGATACCTCAGCAGTTGCGAAATTCATCGGAGTTTGAGAAGTTGTAGCGAGGATACCTTACATTGAATAGTAAAAAATTAAAAAATAATGTGCACTTGAAAGAATAAATGTTACCTTGTTGAAATAAATTGTTATTGTACTGTACTAATTGTTGAGATTTTTTTTGTATGAAATTACAATGTTGAACTTTTTATTGCATATTGTCGAATTTCATCCTGTTGGCTAGAAGACTAAGGCCTCGTTTGGTATATGGAATTCAAACTATGGAATTGGAATTGAGGATTTCAATTCCAATTCTAGTGTTTGGTAGCACAAAAATTGTGTGGATTTGGAATTGATAGTACAAAAAATGAATTAGAATTGGTAGAATTCAATTCTATGGAATTGAATCACATGGAATTTCAATTCTAATTCAATTCCAATTCCACCAATTCCTTGTACCAAACGAGCCCCAGCGGTATGTTCACTTCGAATTAAAATAGAGTTATTCGATATGATTTTTTTTAATATATACATTAAAATACAAATGAATATAGACATAATATATAGTTTAAGTAATTAATTAATATAATGCATCAGAAAAATTCTCCCCACTTAAAAAGCATTTCGACCAAATCACACTTTGATTTCTAAAAATATTTCTTAGTAATTTATTAAGGTCCGGAGTTGCCCAAAGTACTCAATGATTTGTTTCTCCATTTTTCATAAAATAAATTCTCAAAGTATTTATTCATTTCTCCTATCTGATTCATAATAATCCTACGGCTAGCTTAACTTAGGCAAACAACCGAGGCCTTGACGGACAAATGGCACAACCGCTTGGGCATTGACTTGTGCGGTGGCGCCATGGCCGCTGCCGCCACAGCTCAGCGCTTTGATCATCCACCACAGCCTCTTCCCCCTGTCGCCCTGAGGTGGCGGCGTTCTGCCGCCGCCGCTCATCTGCCTATTCTTTATGCATTTCAAATCCATCTCTTTTGGAAGCCCTCCCACTCCAAACAAGAACACAAACCATCTCGACCTTGTTGGCCAACAAGGCTCTGATAACTCTCTGTTATTATACGAAGACGAGCCCTTTCTTGAAACCTTTGGCTTTTCGTTATTATTGTGTCTTCTTCTTCGAGGATCGTGTTGGGGAATGATCCGCTTCCCGCAGAAGATGATGTTTTCTCGATGGGGAGAATCATTAGCGAAAGCTTTGTCGCTCCATTCCTCGACGAAGAACTCAAAGAACGGATCAGAGGATGACGATGATGATGAGACGGAGCTCGAGCTTCCCGAGGAGATGAAATCTCCCCATTGTGAAGAAGAAGAAGAAGAGGAAGGTTTGTTGTATGTTGGAAGATCACATAAGGAGAGCTCATCTTCATCATCTTCTTGTTCTTCTTCTTTTGATGACTTATATTTTTTCATTATCTTCATTTTAATCTTATTATTAATCATCATTTGCATGAATATATATGCAAAAGGTATGGAGTTAATGGAAGATATAAAGGTAGAGAAATGAGGAGAGAGCAGAGACTAGTATGCATTGGAAAGGGAGAGGGTGGAGACTTTGGAAATACATGCACTTGACTTTCTAGACTCGAGGAAAAACCCATTAAGATTTTTTTGGGGGAAATTTTTGGGTTACAAAACCCCTTAAGATTTGAGATAAGGGATATTATTATTAATTTAAATAAATATTTATACTACTATTTCAAGAATTTTATACTTTTACCATATACATATATTATTCTCATCCATATTTCATAAATGGGAAAGTTTTTTCGACAAATTTTATATTTTTATTTTCGTACTCTACCCGTCACTTCATTTGTTACCTCATTCGTGTGTAATTGTCTACGTGAAATTAGAATGTTGTCTGGGCAAGTTATAAATACTTCCTCTTTCCACACTTGATCATTTATATGTCCTCCTTCAATTCAAATATCAGTCCCCCCTTCTCCAGCAACAAATAAAAAAAATTAATTTCGACCGTCTCCTTGATGTATAGCTTTCAATGTCTACACTCCTCCCTAAAGTACGTTGTCGCTCAAAGAGGGAAGAATCCCCAATTAGTCATTTAGGTTTGAAATCCGAGCTGAACTCGACCGTTGTCATCCCTACTCAATTAATCTCCACCTTAAATAAGTTTATCTTGAGTTTAACTCCAAATAGAAAACATAATTTGAGAATTCTTTTTTACACAAAATCTAACACAACAACTCTCATATATTCTCTAGAGCTCGCATATCAAAAAATCAAAGTTTGACTATGATATATATAAGTGTTAATCTAACTTTGTAAACAAGCAAGCTCGTTAGTTGTAAGATTCATAATTCTACTAGAACTAGAATATTTTGAGTACTTATAATCCTGCTCGGTAATTAGCGGCATATGCGTTAAACCCTAAATTAGCGTTGGTCTACGCAATCTAGAATGTGGGGAATGGGGTGTTTAGTGTTAACTGCGTGGTTTACGAGTGTGGGATTAACTCTTAATTAATTGGGTCAAAGGACTTCAAGTCATCTAGTAACATTATATTGCAGCTTGATGAGTTTGAGACGGGTCTTCAATCCATTAATATTCAAACATTTGAACGCCGCCCGGCCCATTAAGTACTCGTTTTTCTTATCGAAACTAAAGTGATATTTGTGATTTATGATGAGGAATTTAGGTAAATAGCACTAAAACATAATGACTTTTCATAAATAACACTACATGTGTTTTTTTCCAATGTAACACTTTTAGTCATTATCCATTAGTCATTATTCAAGTAAATGTTTCCCATCACTGGTCATTATGGACATTATTAAGTGCTATTTAGAGAAATGACTTAAGTTTTAGTGCTATTTACTGCAAATATTTCATTTTTATTATGATTATCATGTCAGGCCTCTTGGAAACATATCATGTTGGGGAACCTTAAGTGAGGTTCCCAAGTGTTATTCTCAGTTAACATATCATCTTTTTCCAATAGTAATTCATATACCCATGTTTGTTTCTTCAAAGCGAATAGAGGCGGTAAACAAGCAGTACACCGTTCCTTCCGCAATGGATACCACACTCTAAACAATATAAAAATCTCATCTTTTTAAAAATCATTTGAATTATAAATTAGTATAGATATAAAAATTATAAATTATATCGTTTCAAAATACATTAAAACTCTACAAAACAAGAGCTATGGAGTATATTTATTGTTAGACAATAATAATAGTATTACTTGTGGTAGTATTGGTTGTGGTAGTGTTTCATTATTAGTCAGCTTCCTAATCCTATTTGTGGTAGATGTTGTATGTTAGTTAGTTTCTATTCTATATTCCTAGTTGTGTTAGGAGTCTCTCCTATATATACTCTATCATGTACTCCATAATTCAAAAGAGCAATATTATTATTCCAATATTTCGACATGGTATCAGAGCCATCGCTCTTGGTAACCTAAAAGAGTTAATTGCTTCCGCCGCCGCTGCCGGTAATTCCGGCAACGGCGGCTCCACCCTATTCACCTCTATTTTCTTTTCCTTCTTTTATCCTCAAATAAAATTCTCCATTCAAATGAAAAAAAAGAAAAAAACCTTTATTGAAATCACACACAAAAAAACCATCAAAGGCGAAACTTCTCTCTTGTCATCTCTATGATTCTTCAAAAAAAAACCAACTCCACACAAACACTCTCAACTCATCCTTGTATCTTCTCAAAATCATGGAAAAAAAANTCCAAGAAAAAGACAAAGAATGTCAAAGATCTCCAGTCAAACAGGCACCTTCAGTAGCCTTCTCTATTCTTCTACGACGTTAGCAGCTACAAGCGCACGTCAACCTTCTCTCTTCTTCTTCGACGTCAGCAGCTACCAGCGCACGTCAATTTCTCTTTTCTTCAACGATGTCAGCAGCTAACAGTGCATGTCAGAATTCTCTCTTCTCCAATGACGTCAGCAGCCACCGGCGCACGTCAAACTTCTCTCTTCTCCAACGACGTCAGCAGCCACCGGCGCACGTCAAATTTCTCTCCTTTCAAAGTTTCCAGTTTCGAGCTAGTGTCCAAGCTTCCTCTTGCTTCAGCCAGAGTTCATCTTGAGGGGGGATGTTAGACAATAATAATAGTATTACTTGTGGTAGTATTGGTTGTGGTAGTGTTTCATTATTAGTCAGCTTCCTAATCCTATTTGTGGTAGATGTTGTATGTTAGTTAGTTTCTATTCTATATTCCTAGTTGTGTTAGGAGTCTCTCCTATATATACTCTATCATGTACTTCATAATTCAAAAGAGCAATATTATTATTCCAATATTTCGACATTTATTAATTTATTTTATTAAAAGAAAGTGAAACATAATTTATGACAGGCAAAAGAATACGATTTTGTAAAACATAGGACTAGCTTTGCCCTAATATAAGATTTCACCATTGGTTGAGCACAACTATTAATAACAACGAAAGTGTGTGATTGAATTTTGGACAAAGGAATGAGAAATCGCATTCTTAATTCAAAAAACGATGAAATTACTGAAATTTAGATGCCCGTCAATTATGGATGGAAAATGAAAGGAAACTCCGGACTCCCCACTCCCCAATTTTTAAGACTTGGTATTTTAAATAGATACATAATTTTCGTTTCAACAAGGGCATTTGGTCTAGTGGTATGATTCTCGCTTAGGGTGCGAGAGGTCCCGAGTTCAATTCTCGGAATGCCCCTTTTTTTTCCTTTATTTAAAAAAAACTCGTTTTTTATTTTTAGCCCTAAAGCAAAATACTGAAAGCCCCCCCCCCCCATTCAAATCTACCCTAATAATATAAGCCGCTAAAATGTTATCTCTCCGTTTTATAGTCTTTTTCCCGCTTTAACTCACTGTGCGTCGCATTGCTCTTATTTTAAAAAATATTTGTCCCACACCTCCTTCTCCACCATATATTTTTATTTCATTTTTAATTATTTATTTATTTTTAAGTTTTTGCCCATTTATGTGGTAGAGGAGGGGGTGAGGGACAAATGGGGTACACCTTTGGTGTACCCCTATTATTTTTCTTAAAATAAATATCCTGGAGCATTACTTCATATAGCCTATATGAAATTTAAAGGGAAAAGAATGAAAAAATAGGAAGAGAATTAATGAGATTGTATTATCTAATGGGTTTAGGTGTCGGTATACATATATTTTATAGTGCTGTGTAGCAGATACTCCCTCTGTTAATCATAAATCTAATAAATTTATATTTATATGAATATCTAATACTCCCTCCGTCTCCCTAAGATGTTCTCATTTTGACTTTTGGTGGTTTTTAAGGAGAGTTGAAAAAAGGTGAAAGTTTACCATAATACCCTTAATGAAATATGGGTGGAGTGTATTAAATGAGGTGGGTGAGGTGTAATAAATAAAGTAAGTGGGGGTAGTTATGGTATTTTAATTGTTAAAAAATGAAATGAGAAGATCTATTGTGGACAAAGAAAAAGGGCTATTGGAAAAATCTATGTGGGACGGAGGGAGTATCAAATTTATTTAATTCATGGTCATTTTTACTATAAGTACTCGGGGGATTAAACTTGGGAAGTCTAATCAAGAAACATGTAATAAAATCAACAATAACAAAAACTAAGTATTAATTTCACCATAAGTATAGTTGTGTCTTTCTACTTTTTTTCTAATTATACTTAGTTATATAAATATACTTTATCGTACTTTTACGTTTACGTAATGTTTTCAGCGAAAAAGGCAGTGCTATAAGAGAGAAGTAAAATAAACAAAAACTAGATTTTTTGTGTCATTTACCCAACACAAAATATCTTTTACAATATGTACAAAAGTACACCATATGTATTATCTTTTGTGTTATGCACCATAGGTATATATCTTTTTGTTTAACATAGGTAAATAATACTCCTTCCGTTCTCAAAAACACTTCCTCTTTCATTTTTTCCACTTCTAACAAAACACTTCCACTTTTTATTTAAAAAAACCTGTTTACCATTACTTGTTCATACCCTACATATCACATCATACTTTTTCTTTAATAATCTATCCATCACATACATCTTACTTTTAACCATCACATCAAGGGCAAAATTGGAAGTCATCTACAATTTAACGCTTCTTTATTTTTATACTTGGTCAAAATAGGAACTCTTTTTTAGAACGGAAGGAGTAACACTATAAGCTGTTATATATTTTAGTGTAATTGGAAAAACTACGACCAATGGTATCCTAATAATCATCAAAGAAGTTTGGAGGTGCGGAGTGCACGCTTCATTGAGTTTGTTACGATATAAAACCCGTTACACCGGGGGTTCCAAGGGGGCAGCGCCCCCTTGGCGGGGGTTCGGGGGCAGCGCCCCTGAGCAGGGTTCAAGGGGCGGCAGGCCCTGCGGGGTCCAAGGGGCAGAGCCCCTGGCTAGGGTCGAAAATTTTTTATTTTGGGCTCGGTGTTATGTTAAAAAATTCAATTAGAATTTTAATTTCGAATTTTCTTTAAAAGAAAATTCGATGGATTGGACCGAATTTTGAAGAAGAAACTTCCGCGCGAAGAGTTGCGTGCTTTGGGTAATAGCCGCGAATGGTGTCTTCTCCTTCTCACCCCTAGTCTATAAAATTCCCCTGGGCATGGTCGAATTTCGTTCGGTCACAGACACAGCGATTCTCATATTTCGTTCTTGATACTTTCGAGTTTTATCCAATTGAATTTTGGAGTGAACAACCAAAATATTCAATCTGAAAGTGTTTACACAACTCTCGATTCATCCAAGTTATCATTAATTTCCCCAACATAAGCTGCTTTGCGCCTCTATTTTGTAAACAGGTGCTCTATTTTGCAAAATCTGCTTCCAAGGTGTTGTTATTCAGTACTAAACCCACTGCACTCTTTTTTACTTCATACATTTTTTGTTTTGATTTGTTCCTTCCAGAAAAAATTAGTTGGACTCTTCTTTGCTAAAAACACTGGGCACCAAATCCGTATCAAGCTGCGCATGCTGCATGCATATCAAAGCATCACCAATTTACCACTAAAATATTGCCATAAAGTACTAAAAAAAACTAAGATAAAATATGAAGAGAGAAAAAATTAGAATCTTTTTATTTTTTTATTTTAAAAATAGATTTTACAATGTAAATAATAATAATATTATAATAGGCCACGTAGCACAAGTACCCCCATGGTTTAAAAAATATGCACCAAAAGCCCCCATGTTTTCAAAACTCATTTCTAAAGTCTTCGTAATTTCAAAACGTTGCACTCATATACCCTCTGATCATTTTCTGGCCGTTTTTCGAACGAAGAAGGGTGTTGGTCCCTATTTTCCAAAACCATGGGGGGCACTGGTGCTTATTTCTTATTATTTATTTATTTACTTATTCATTCATTTACTGCATCTGTAGGTCTCAAATTAACATATACTGCATCTGTAGGTCTCAAATTAATAATTTTTGTTTTTTGAAATAAAAAAGTACAAACATTTTTTGTCAACTTCAAAAAATGAGGAATAAAATAAGAAATAAAAAATAAAAATGAATCCTTTTTGGACATCCTAATTCTAAGAGTTTTTTTAGGCATTTTGAAAAATTCTTTTTGTATAAGACTCTTTTTTTCATGTTTCAAATTTTTCAGGTCGTTTTTCCATATTTTTTATTTTTTTATTCCGGATTTTCTTTTTGAAACTTACCCAAAATATTATTCTAGAAAATATATATATATATATATATATATATATATATATATATATATATATATATATATATATATATATATATATAAAGTGAAAATGTTTAATTTCAAATACATGAAGTATATGTTATTTTTTTTATTTCAAACACAAAGAATTTTGATTTTTTTAAAAAATTATAAAAAACAGAAAAGAAACTTAAAAAACTTCTTAGGGAAGATTAAAAAATAGTTAAAAAAGGAAAAAAACAAATAATAAACAAAAAATAAAAAATGAACACGAGTGTCCCCTATGGTTTTAAAATTATGCACCAATGCCCCCTCTTTGCCGAAAAATGACTAAAAAATCTTCGTGAATAGGAGTAAAAAAGTATGAAAATACAAAAATAGGAATCTCAAGTCTTTTAAGATCTAAACAAGAGTATAATGGAAGTGTGGTGTAAGAATACATGTTAGTAGTGTGATAGAGCACTGATAACAAAGTAATGTATCAGTGTGATAAGTCAACCTCCAGCGATCCGAAGCAACACGTATTCTCTGGTGGCCGACGGTGACGGATGGCAGTGTGCCGGTGATAGTGTATCTGTTAGAATGTGATAATTTAGTGAGTCTGGCAGTGTGAACTTTTATTTTGATCTTAAATACTTATAACACATATTTTTGTATTTTTTTATAGTTTTTTACTCATATCTAGTGATTCTCCCAAAAAGAAACTAAAACTTAAAAATTAAACTATAACTTCTATAGGTTTTGGTATTTGAAATTTTAAAATTAAAATAAAACTAAAACATAAAAATTAAAAACAAGAAATACTAAAATTTATAATTTAAAATCTAAAATTAGAATATTAAAAATAAAAATAACAAAATTTTAAATTTTGAAATAGCATATTAAACTAACTACTCAAAATTTAAAATTTAAAATTGGAATATTAAAATTAACTACTTAAAATTTAAAATTAGAATATCAAATTTAAAATAAAAAAGAAAAAAATTAAAAATAGAAATTTAAAAATTAAAAATTAAAAATAAAATTCTCAAACTTCAAATTTTAAAAATTAAAATTTTGAAATTAAAATAAAAAATAAGTAATTGAAAACTTAATATTTGAAATTTACATTTTAAATTTAATTTAAAATTTGAAATTTAAAAACAAAAAATTTAAATTAAAAAATTAAAGTTTAAAATTAAGATAAAAAATTTAAATATTATTATGTTAATTTTAATAATAAAAAATTAGGGTTAAAAATTAAAAATTAAAGATCAAAAACTAAATTTTTAAAATTTAAATTTAGAACTAAATATTTAAAATAAAAATGTGAGAATCTGGCTTGCTCGTGTGAGATTCCAGCTAGTGTGGATGGTAACTATTGAGCCTTCAACTCCACGTGTTCCTAATTCTTCCAAATCCCTATATAAACTTTACCGTTTTCCAAAATCCTAAACATCATGGGTCCAAAAGGTGGAATCGCCCACCTCAGGCGCCCTCACCCCCTTGTCCGACAGGAATGGTGGAGAATGTAAATCATGGTGACTCAGTCGGCCAAGAACGCTAGACCCGTGCCCACCGCGCACAAGAAGCCTCCTCACCCTTTATGGGATTTTTGGATAGCTCCCACACTGCCGTTTGCGGGACTCGATTCCTGGTCATCGGTCCAAGATTTTACGCTCTTGACCAACTGAGCTACCCATGCGGGCAAAATCCTAAACATCATGGATCAAAGAAAGATGGATGGTTAAGCTTGGGATTTAGAAAGCGAAAAGGTTCATTTATTTAGGAATTTGGAAGAATTAGTAATACGTCAGATGATCAATATTACATGTAGGATAAGACACAAGTTATCGTAAAAGTCAGCTGAAATGTCACATACGCACTGGCCTGGACTCCGAAAAATTGATAAAATTATGTTTTACTTACATATTTTAAAGATGCAATAAAGTTTTTTTGTTAGAAATTGAAGATGTTGACTTAAATTTTAAGCACGTATGAAGTTAGAAAAAAACCTTCTCATATCAGTAAATGTTTTTTTAAAAGAAAAATATCAGTAAATGTTAATCACATACAGTATGTAATTTTTTTTCACTTAGCATGTCACGCACTGTTTCAAAATAAAGTGCACACGACAAATTGAGCGATATGGAAAGAACACGTACGACATGTCAAGATAGACTGTCACAAAAGGGAAAGCAAAATGCTTTTTTTACGTAGTATAAAAAAAAATTCCAATAAAGCCTTTTGTTGCCTAGTTTGTTACTCCCTCCGTCCCAGTGTATTTGTCCTGTTTGATTTTTTTGAGTCTACTGAGACGGGAGGATTACTTGCTTGGACGATGTATCATGAACCAGCATGTGATGTGTTTCTAACTATATACTCCCTCCGTTCCAAAAAGAATGGGACGATTTGACTTTTTGGGAAATTAAGGGAGGGATATTTTGGTATTGACTTTCCAAAAATACCCTTGATGTGATGGGTAAAAGTAGGATGTGATGGGTAGATTATTAGAAAAAAGGTATGATCTGATAGGTAGGATATGAAAAGGTAAGGGGTAAAAGTGGTTTTTTAATAGAAATGTAACGGACTTTACGGGACGCGGTTTTTTCTAAACGTAACAAACTTTTTGGGACAGAGAGAGTATATTATTTTATCCAATGAATAACGCGAAATAAATATTGTCAAATAACCAAATTTTTTAAAAATTAAGCGGGTATGTTACATTCTTTGTTTGCCAAATTTGGAAAAGAAGTTTACTTAAGAGCTAAGAAGTGCAACTTCGGCATTCACAATCAACTAGCTACGTAGCCTTCCCACCCCACCACCCACCATCACAAACATATCAAAATAGAATATTACAATAGGGGAACTTTATACCAATCATGGAAGTATATACTTTTTCATTCCATAATTATACTCTTTCCTTTCTAAATTAGATACTCCCTCCCCACAAATAAACTTTACATTGCGCGTTACGATGTTTGACTGAAGTTATTTTCAAATTATTTTATATCAAAAATGGTGTAGAATTGATAAATAAAAATTACACATTAAAAAACTATATCAAAAGATCTACAAAACTAGAGGTGACATTACTATATTATTTTATCAAATGGGTGACGAAAATAGGCCAACAAAGTGAATAAAGTTTGACTCGATGAATAGTAAACGTAAAATTTATTTGTGGACGGAGGGATTATATATCACTATTGAGTACTAGTGCAACATCTCAATAACTTTTATTTGTTTGTATATTTTTATTGGTAATTTGATAAGATAACATATTCTTTTTACCTTTTATTTTAAAGAATAGAATTTTTATATGCTTTTAAATGGTGTAATTTATATTTTTTTATTTTTATACCAATTTATGATTAAAATGATTTTAAAAATGATGAATACACACACACACACATATCGTTCATGTAACAAAAACACTTTGTTATTTCATGCATTGTACTCCCTCCATTTCTTAAAACCTCTCCTCTTTCATTTTTTTTGTTTTTCTCAAACCCCTCCTCTTTTCTATTAAAAAACTACTTTTACCCTTACTTTTTCATACCCTACCTATCACATCATACGTTTTCACTAATAACAAAATAGAAATCATCCTAAATAGGACTAAAACATAGAGAAAAGTACCAAAATAGGACTTTCATGTTTTTTTCCCATAATAGGACTTTGCATTGTGGTAATGTCACTTTGCATTGTGGTAATGTGGCAGTGTACATGTGCAAATTACTATACTTTCTTGGTAATGTATATGACCATGTTTGGTAATGTAAGTCCTATTTCGGGAATAAAAACATGGAAGTCCTATTTTGGTATATCTTCAATGTTTTAGTCTTACTTTGGTCTTTCTCCCATAACAAAACTATCACATCTTACTTTTACCCATCACATCAGGGGCAAAATTGGAAAGTCAACTAAAATTACATTTTCCTTATTTTGCCCTAAAGTCAAAACAAGAATTGTTTTAAGAAATGAGCACTTTAAATTGTCATCCCACAGGTAGTGCAAATATGAGACACAAATTAATTTGAAATCAGCTATATATCTATCTAGTGCATCTATATATATATATATATATATATATATATATATATATATATATATATATATATATATATATATATTATTCATAATATATTGAAGGTGTGATTAAAATATAAAACTGAATAATCTATTCAAAAAAATGGATCGAGGAGTGTACTATGGGGTTAGCAACACACTGATCGGCGTGCTGAACCTCATCACCCTGGTGGCGTCGGTGCCGATCATCGGCGCCGGGCTGTGGATGGCGAGGAGCGGCAGCGCCACCTGCGAGAAGCTGCTGCAGACGCCGCTGCTGGCGATCGGATTCGTCATCATGACGGTGTCCCTGGCGGGTTTCGTCGGCTCCTGCTTCCGCCTCACGTGGGCCCTCTGGCTCTACCTCTTCGTCATGCTCTTCCTCATCGCCGCCCTCATGGGCGTCACCATCTTCGGGTTCGCCGTCACCAGCCGCGGCGGCGGCGTGGCTGTCCCCGGGAAGGTGTACCAGGAGTACCGGCTGCCCAACTACTCCGGGTGGCTCCGGAAGCGGTTCGTGACCGGGGCGCGTGACTGGGCCCCGGTCAGGAGCTGTGTCCTGGGGTCGAACGCGTGCGCCCCCGTGCTCAGTTGGACCCCGGCCGACTACCAGGCCAACGACATGTCCCCTCTCCAGTCGGGGTGCTGCAAGCCGCCGACGTCGTGCGACTACGCGGCGGCGATGGAGACGCAGGAGGAGGACTGCAAGCGGTGGAACAGCAACGACGCGGCGGTGCTGTGCTACGACTGCGACTCGTGCAAGGCGGCGGTGCTGGAGGACATGAGGAGGGAGTGGCAGAAGATTTCCATGGTCAACATTGCCATGGTCGTCGTCCTCATCGTCGTCTACTCCGTCGGGTGTTGTGCTTTCGAGAACGCCAAGATCGCCGAGTCCGTCCACCGTTATGACGGCGGCGGCGGCCCCAATATCCCCGGGTATTTCAAATCTCGCCCCCCTCGATGGGCTGATTTCCATGGGTAATTTTCTCTTTTTTCCCTTCTTATTAGATGACTTTTTTATATACAATATATCACTTATAATTAAATAAAATATATATTGTACGGAGTATATTAATTAGATAAAATATTACTCTGAAAATATATTATATAATAAATCTGAGTAGCGTTGAGTTTTGAAAAAATATAAATTTTTTAATTTAAAATTATTTTTTTAAATCTAAGTGGCGTTTGAGTTTTGAACCTGAACTTCTTAGTGAATAAGATTTTGATAACATGTCAATTACTCTGTACAATACTTTGTAATTGGAGGCTAGGAAAGACTATTTAGTGCAAATATTTCATTTTATATTCTAATACATTTTACATTTGCAGTGTACTCTTTATTAAGCCTCCAAAATCTCATACTCTGTATGATTTTTAACCAATTATTGTAAACCTAATGAAACTTAATAATACCACTAAGTTATTAATTTTGTGAAAAATGCCACTAATTGTTTGTCGGTAGATTATTTCAATACTTAAAAATGCTAATTTAGCACATATGAAAGTCTACCATAGACCTTAGGTGCATGCAAGAATTTGCTTTCTGAAAAATATTACTCCCTTTTGTCTCTTTAGGTCAATAATGTCACTCCCTCCAATAATTTTTTTCAAATTATCTAAATAGAACTAAAATATACTCCGTATTAACTTTCTCAATATAGGATCATATGTTTCTATTTCCTAGTGTAAGATTATTAGTCATTATCTATTAGTCATTATTCAACTAAATGTCCAGCATTACTTGGAAATTATTTTTCTCACTATTCATTTTTAAGTCCTATTTAGGGAATAAAAAATTTTAAATCCTACATTAAGAAATGACTTATGTTTTAGTCCTATTCAGTGCAAATTTCACTTTTTTCAATGTTTAAAAATATGATTCTTGTGTCTTTAAACAATCATTTAAAATTCATTTTTTTTCAATTTCATGTTTTTATCTGGTGTTTAAATATTTCTTAACAAATTTTCTTCCTCTGCCCAATTTTATCGACTCACAAAAACTATATTTTAAAAAAAATGATTCAAAGTTAAAACATTTAAAAAAACATTTGTCTAGAAAAAGAAACGGATTTTTAGTTTCTTTCCCTTTTTTCCCTCTGTTTTTTTCTTTTTGCATTTTTAAAGCTTTTTAAATAAGTTAAGTCGTTGTACATGTACCAAAAGAATTGTTACGTTGCTTCAAATAGAATAGTAGCACTCAAATTAAACTCGAATTAAATACACTTACTTTTGTAATGGGGCCTCAAGCAATAGCTTTAAGAGAACAATTGTGGATTTCAAAGTCAGCTTTGGATATTCTTTAGTACTTACCCCCTCCGTTCCAGTGTATTTGTCCAGTTTGACATTTTCGAGTCAAACTGAACAAATTTTGAGCTTCAATTAAATAAAATCCGTAATGTATTTTAACATAAAAATAACTTTATTGGATTTATCCTATTGAGAACTTTCAAAGTTGTATTTCATTATGCTAATATGCAATATAAATTGAAAGTAATTAGAGTTTAAAATTTATCCAGTTTGACTCAAAAAAGTCAAACTAGACCAATACACTGGGACGAAGGTAGTACTGGTTATTACGTACTCTCTTTAATTCATGTGTACAATTTAAGTAGTAATTCCATTTGAATTTCAAATCTTTAAAGCCATGAAGCAACTAGCTGGTAAGGAACGTTTGCATATGCATGTTGTTATATGGCTATCCGGCTGGACGTTGCGCAGTTGGCAAAGGTAAAATGTGTCAATGATTAAGATGCGAGTTCGAATCCTACTAAATGCATTGAGATTTATCTCCTTTCAGTGACCGTCTAGCCGGATCTGAAGGATCCTCGAGGATGGGGCTATATGTTCTATGTACACAAAGCAGTTTTTGCATGAATATTTATTTCTCTTCCCTCTATGTCACCAATCTGCAATCGAAGTCCAATTTACTTCCTCTTAGTAACCGTCCGGCCAAGTCAAAAAGCTTAATTATTTTATTGTGGTTGTAAATTTTTTTGCAGGTGGAAAAGGATGCGTGATTGGATACGTTGAATTAATGAATTATTAATTGTTTTTCAGTTTTGCTATTTTGTCACCAAAACATCATTATCTTCATCTATAGTCTTAATTAATTAAATGCTCCCCACAATTTGGATTGAATAATGGAGTTTCTTTCATTAATTTTTCCATCCCATTTCTAATGTTTGTATTGTTAATTTTATTATGACAAACGAATAATTGAAGCTACACTTCTCATGTGACATTAGAGTAACATTATACAAGTTGTTTCTCGTTTGGACAAATAGTTTGGGTGAGGACATATTACGTTTTGTATATTCGTTTAGTTTTACTTTTTTTAATCAAACTGAACGAGCTTTTGGACTCATTTAAATAAAAATGATAATGTATTTTAACATAAAATTATTTTAATAGATTTATCTCCTTGAAAAAAAAATAAGATTTTAATTTATTATATTAATATACAACACAAATTAAAAGTAATTTGATGATTAAAATTGATTCAGTTTACCTTTAAAAAGTGAGAAATTGAACAAATACATCCCAACAAATGGAGCATTATGCCATTGAAAAGAGAGAATTTTACTTTATTTGATTGTTGCTTTAATATAGTGCCCAGGAAAGGGGCGTGGGATGACGTTTATCTAGTGCTTTAAAGACGAGAAAAAGAATATGATGAGCCAAAATGAAAGTGTGAAAATGAACCTATATTCCCTCCGTCCACGAAAAAACTTCTAGTTTACTATTCACAGGGTTAAATTTTATTCATTTTGTTGGCTTATTTTTGTCACTCATTTGATAAAATAATATAGTCATATCACCTCTAGTTTTGTAAATCTTTTGATATATTTTTTTAATATGTAATTTTTATTTTTCAATTCTACACCATTTTTCATATAAAATGACTTGAAATTAACTTCAGTCAAACATCGTAATGCGCAACGGAAAGTTTATTTGTGGACGGAGGAGTGTAAGATTAAAAATCATTCTACTTCACGACTTCACGCACTCGTTATCTTTTCTTTTGCTTCTTTTGAGGTATATTTATTTATTAGACACCAAAAATTCATGAATTAAGTTATTTATACATCAAAAATTGTATCCCAATTTGTACCCCGAAGACATGCACTAACATTTTGTATTAGTGTGATCTTATGTTTTGGTCTACAGTCTTCACTGCCACAAAAGGTAGTGTAATTCTTTTATTAAACTAACATATTGTGTCAGTATTAACCGTTAAAATATTGATATATTTTTTGGGTACACTTCTTGGTATACCGTGGTATATTTGATAATTCATAGGTTCGTTCCAACAAACAAATGTATTGTGGAGTATGACTGTGGTGCAATATGCTAGCTTATAACTATGAAAAATGCTAAGGGTACACCAAATGTGTATCCTATTTGTCCCCCATCCCCTTCTTGTCCACCAAAAAAAGGCAAGAAATTCAAAAAAAAATAAATAAAAATAAAATAAAAATAAAATAAAAATGGGTGATGGAGAAATGGGTGGTGTACATTTGGAGTACACCAAAGGGGTACACCTTTGGTGTACCCCTAGCATTGCTCTATAACTATTGGTGTTAAGTAAAGTTGGTTTGGGGAGAGTTTTAGTGTCTCCACAAGGCATATTTTACTTTTTGTATGATACCAAAAATGGTAAGACTATTCTTTCCAGCCACTGCCAAAATAAAGTTATTAATTTTTTCAGTTTATATCATACTTGATTGAGCTTATTTTCACTTAAATATATTTGAAAATTGATAAGAAACTAAAAGATACTCCATGATAATTATATATATACTCCCTCCGTCTCTAAATATATCTCACATTTCTATTACCGAGGTAAAATATCATGTTTTTTCAATTCATTTTATTTACATAATTGTATAAAAATAAAAAATAAAGTTTACATATCAAAAAACTACATGAAAAGTTCTTCAAAATAAGAGATGTCAAGAATATTTTATTTTATCAAATAACCAATGAAAACGTAAAAATAAACAAAAGTTCCCGCGACTATTGAAAAAGCAAATGTGAGATATATTTAGGGACGGGAAGAGTATTTAAAAATTAAATAATATATCAAAGGCTATAGTCATTATGTTCTTAAATAACTGTCTACCTATTACACCATCTATCTCAATTTAAATCATCTATTTCGATTTACGATATTTACATGAAGGTATTTCCTATACAAAATATTAGAAAATTGAGGTAAAATAAATTTATCTATTTATAAAGTAAATTAAAAGTTCTGCGAAATATGAGGTTACATATTAATACAGTATTATTTTATCAAATTAGATACAAATATAGAAAAATTTGACTATGTAAATAGTAATTGGAAAGAATGTTTTAGGACGGATAAAATATTTAGAAACGGAAAAGCACTCTACAAAACAATTAGTGACTTGACTATTTTATTTTATCAAAAGCTCAATGAAAAATATGTAAAGAAAAAATTGAAGAAAAATTAAAGGTAAAATTAAAAGATTATTTTCAGACGAAAAAAAGAGTAAAATGAGACATCTTTCCTGGACGGAGGGAGTAATTATTGTTGATGCAAACCTTGGTTCAAACGCGCCTAGGCCCAACCTATTCATCTCTACGCAAAGGCCACAGACAATACCTCAACCGGTGGGCCAAAACCCACTTTAAGCAAAAGGCCAACACTCCCCCAATCTCATAAAATGTAATGATGATTGACCAGATAGCACAGTTACAACTTACAAGTCTTAAACATGACTTAAAATTTGAACTCTTTTTTATAGTTTAAATAATTTTAAATTCCTACTCTGTAATTAGAATAATTGGGATTATATGAAATTGATATTAAAAAAAGCTTTTTAACACAGAATCATTTTATGGGACAGAGAGAGTATATGCAACCAACCACATGGACTGTAATGAAAATGCAATAAAACCGCTGTCAAAGAATCTAAAGGGCAAAAAGGTTGCACAAAAATGTCCAGGGGTGTATTGGGACATACATTCTGGGATATGTTTGGTGTGAAGGGGTAAAAGGCATTTACACAGGAAAAAGGGCATTTAAACATTATCTGATGCACCATCTGTTTGGGACTCTCCAGCCTTGTTCGCACCAGAAGCCGCCAGCCTCTCGGTTGCCACCAATCTTTCTTCCAGTGCCCTCGCGCCTCTTTCCCTGCAATTTATTTTGACAATGGAGGAAAGAGACAAAATTAAATAGAGCCTGGTTTATAGGAATAGGATGGATGTCATGATGATAGAAGCAATTAAAAAACTGTCAAGAAGCAAGACATTTCCACAGTTTGCTTTGGTTTCCATGAATTGTTGTCATGTGTTACCCTCAAAGTTGATCAAAGTTTTGTTCTTGGAATAGGCAAGGAAAAGAATAAGTTCTCCGTTCAACCAAACGGAGAGTTGGGTTTGTTTGGGTCGAAGGGTATGAGAAATGTATGGCATATTTGAGAGGGTCTTCAACTTATCAGATTACCTTCTCCTGGATGCTTCAATAGGGTCAGAACCAGGCAACGGGATGCCACCTACAGTGTAGCCTTCCCTCTCTTCATTAGAAATTTCAGATCTTTTCCCACACAGCATTCGATCCAGTACACTAGCAATGGGATCAATTACAGGTCTGCATGAACACCCAGAAAGAGAAAAAATGCACAAAGGATCCAGTGAGAAAACAAGTCCCAAAAACTCCCCTCCCCCTGAAAGGTAATGAAAAAAACATTAAAGAACTAATGATTACCGCAGAAACTGAGGGAAAAAAGTTGAAAATGCAAACTCATCACTTGGATCACCCTTGAGTTTTGTTTCTGGGTTCCTTTGCCAGTATCTGAGGTAAATCCATCCCATGTATGTGCCAAATACTGAAGTTGGAAGGTATGAAGACGAATCCACTGCAAAAAAACTTAAAGCAGCACACACTAGCAGTGCAAGGGAAGGCAACCACTGCAAATACCCCCAAGGAGAAAAAGTTAGAAACATCATTTTGCTCATTCACAAATTATTCTTGAGATTATACCTTTGCCTTTAGTTTTAAAAAAGACAGCTCTTCGTCGGGCATGATTTGCTTGATGCCAACTAAGAAACCATAAAGGACCCCTTGGAAGCCGGAAGTAGGTAGATAACTGTTGAAGAGGTTCAAAAGGAATAGAAAAATAAGAAAATATTGAGCTTCACCTTTGGAATGCATCAATGAAGTAAAAGTCTAATATCATATCATATTGGGAGGCACAAATAGAATGTGGAAGACAATGCATGTCAATCGAAAGTATGAAACAGTAAGGTCCTGTCCAATTAGATTCGAGTAAAACATACTCATCATATACAACACAATGACACGTCAAGTTGATTTGCCTGTCTACATATAGTCTATTTAAGCACAAGAGTTGATGAGAATGGATGGAATATACAAAGTAAAAACCAAGAAAAAGCAGACACATTAAATTGATCCCTGAAAACTGAGGATGAATGTTTAACAATGTTTTTAAGTCATATAGAGGTTCCCGCATCACTTACAGGTAGCTTTCCATTCTCGTTATGTAGTACAATGATATAGCTGTAATAAAAACACAGACGGCAGTCAAAAAGTTGACAATAAAGATAAACTTCAGAAATTCCCTAGAGCCCCAAATAGGTTCAAGCAGCTTCCCCATGAAAAGTAGCCCAATAATGCTGACAACCACCTAGAGATACACAAAATTCAACATCTGTGAACTATAAGGAGTAGAAGATTACACAAAGAAGCAAAAGGGAAAAAAATCCAAGAAAGGTAAAATATGATATTGACCATAATCCACAACCAAAATAGACATACCCCATATATGGACTGTTCAATATAACCAGCTGTTATAAGATTCCATGCAAAGGGAATAGTTCTGCAAAATAAAGTTTTCAGATGCGAAAAAAACCCATTAGTGAAAAACAATGTGCCAAGTCCATAATCTTTTCCCCTCGGTGTTATTCTGCAAGTCTGATAATCACGGTGGGTTATTATACATATTAGGAGTTCTCTACTTCTCTGTCTACAGAAGGCATAAGGGATTCTAAGATTGCAGATGACGAATCTTTTGTTGTCACCACAAAATATAATATACTTTCAAAAATCAACATCTTTGTGCGAATAGATGAAACTGCACTTTTTGTATTGCCTTATTTATTTCAGATAAGGAGGTGATTGCTTTGTTCGGGGAACAGCGAATGTGATAAGCAATAGCATTTTGGATACTTTTATAATGGTGCAGATTAACTTCGAAGGCACTAATCCTAAAAGATATCATCCGATAGCCAAATGTATACTACGGAGTAAAATAATGATAATAATGTGCTAAAAAATGATAACAATAATAATAATACCATCCATCTCTCATATCAGAATTTTTAACGTGAACTTCTACATAGTAAACCCGGACGTTTCTCATGCACTCAAAGATGATATAAAAAGGACGGTAATAATAGCATCGGGAACCATGATTACAGTTATATCACCACTACACATCATACACTGACGCTACCTCCAATCCCTAGAAGAAAAATACTACCTTAAAGCCCAATCCTAGTGGTTTTGTGTTGATCTAAGCCTTGATACTCAAGCAACCACCAGATGGAATCATTTTTTGCTAGGCCAAGACCGACAATATAACAACAATTCCCTTTTCTAGTTTTAGCATCTCAGGCATCATGAAGTTCACAGTTTAGATTAAGGTCTCATATGATAGTATGTGCAATGTACATACATTTTCTACACATAAAATCAATGCAAGTGATTTAACTTCAAGTCAATGAACCCGAATCCCATGAAATCAACAGCGGATGAAGGAAAAAGATAAGAAAAAAATACTTTGCAGGTATAAGTGCAAGATAGGAAAGAGCAGAGGGGAGAATCTGAACGAGGACGTAGCCACCGACAAGCACGGCGGCCGTCCCCTTGCACAGCCTCGTGAAGCCGGTAAACATACCGCCACCGCTCATCTTCCTCAGAATGCACCTGCAATGATGATAACAAACGAGAATTCTCAAGTTCATCGCCGTTTACGCAATTCACAGGCACACAGACTCAATCCATTCCAGATCTGACCACGAAAACCAGATTAAATCGTACATAACGTAAAGATTGCGAACTCAACCTGAGATGCGATCTGGTGATGAGCGGACTAACCTATGCTTGAAGTGGCGATTTAAGAGTAAAAAAAGGAGAAACTGAAAGCTGGAAAATGAACTTCGAAACGGAAAGGTGATTTGTTTTGTTGGATTGTGGCCGGGAAATCGGGAAGCGTTGCCGTGTTGAGTATTGTGATGCTTGCTGAAGATGACTGGAAAGCTAACGGTGATCTGGAATTGAAGACCACAGTCGTCTTAAAATCTCTGGTTCTATACTTCTATGATGGTAAATTAATCCAATAAATTTTTTTTTATCAAGAGTATTTCAATTTGTTTATTTTTTTGAATCCAAACGTGAACAAAATTTATACTACTAAATTTGTATTCATGTTTAATTGATGTTATTCAAGGACTTAATGAAATCTAAAATTAATGTTAAATTGATATAAGTCATAGAGGATGTTTTACTATTCTGTGCTGATTTTTATTAGTTTTTTGCTGATATTGTTTTTAACTTTGTTTATAAGTTAAATATTCTTGTGTAAGTAAAATGATTTCAATAAAAAATAAGTAATTACAAGATATTTCATAAAAGGTGAAAGATAATTTTGTAAGTAATATCCTGTAACTTTGTAATTACAGGATATTCATAAAAGATAAATAATATAGTCAAAACGGAAAAGATCCTGTATATTAAAAGATATTTCATAAAAGGTGAAAGATAATTTTGTAAGTAATATCCTGTAACTTTGTAATTACAGGATATTCATAAAAGATAAATAATATAGTCAAAACGGAAAAGTAAAAATTTTAATATAAAAATAAATAGAAAAGACTTACTTATTTGTTTTTACTTATAATGACCTATAAACACAGAATAATATGTCAGCAGAAGACTTATAAATTAAAAATAGTTTATATGAATTTGATCATAAACACAAAGAAACACACACGTGATTTATTATGGAAAAATGTTAGACTAAGATTGATTTTGAAGTATTTAACGAACTACTGAGTATATTACTTATATCATATCTAAAAACATTAAGGCAATTTTTTCAAATAAAAATTATGTTTCATAAATATAATTATTGAAAATCATATATTTTAGATGTTATGCTATGTAATTTAATAAAATTTTAGTGATTTGACTCAATAAAACAATACATAAAACAATTTAAATACACTTAATACTAGATTAATTTGTTTGAAAACAAATTTCAAACAAATGGTTTGTACTCCGTATGTGTGTGTGCACGTGTGTGTAGAAGACTAAATAGAGAAACTATCTTTAAGGGACCAATTTGGATGATTATTATTCATAGTTCAAATTAACAAAAGATCTCGTACATTTGTATTCACTCAAAATACAATTTATTACAGTAAAATAGTATAGTCAAGTTACTATACTTCTGCTTTTATAGAATTTTTATTTCAATTTCTAATTTCTAAATAATATTTAAACAAAGTAAAGTTAAAGAAAAAAAATCAATTGTGTAAGCATGTTGTTGTTCAGGCAAGGAAGTTACACTGAACTACTACACATCCCGTGTTCAAGTCGCATCAACTCTGCTTAAGAGGTTGAGACTATTTGAACAATCATAGATTCATACTATAGTGATATAAATGGGAGCTACTTCCTCCGTCATAATTTAAATTATTGATTTTTAATGTAATTAATTGTAGTGGAATAAAAAATAAACTTATTAAAGATTACATCAAAAGCTCTTCAAAACAAGAGATGACATAATTATATTATTTTATCAAATGAGTAATGAAAATAGAATAAGAAAGTGAATAAAATTTGTCCATGTGACTTTAATGAAATTTAACTCTATTTATTAATGAAATGGAGTAGAATTAAAAATAATAACTTTACATAGTGAAAAAATTACAAAAACTCTACAAAATAAGAGGTCAAATGAGTAATGAAAATAAGAAAAAAAGTGAACAAACTTCGACAATGTGAATTGTAAACATGCAATTTAATTTAGGAAGGAGAAAGTACAGAAATAGAAGAATTTCAATTAAACATTTAAAATCTTGAGTCAATAAGACTAACTTATAAACTCAATTTTTATGTAGATTATGTCAAAAATCTTTATATTCCGTATACTATGACAAAAACTCACGATTATTACAAGTAGAATTTCTTGTAAACTAAAAACACCCAAATATCTAACCCCAAAAAAAACACACACAAAGCTCCATGTAAAAAAAAATCTCACGAGAAAAGGTGAGAAAACTTAAGCTCCTTTTTCCACCACCATTTTTCTCTTATTTCATCTTTTCAATCTATTTTCACATCATTTTCTTTCCATTTTCCATCAATCCAAACATTAACTTTTTCTCATCATCTTCTCACTATTTTCTTTCCCATCATTTTCTTTCCTCTTATTTTCTCATCTTCATCCAAACAAAGGGTTGAAGTCTACTATAACATGGTAATCCGCATGATTTAAATATTAATTCATTCTAGATCTATTGCCGGATAGACCAATGCACACAATGACTAAATCATATAGGTGGTTTGAATGTGCATTGGTGGGAATTGGAAAAAAGTGTAATCAAACAAAGCATGCTAACACGTTGCACTGTAATTATAGTTGCTATATTGTTAGAAATACATGGGTTGATAATGTTCAGAAGAGATGAAAGCGATATATGCATATACACAGGCACTTCTTGTTTCGGCCGTAACTTCTTGAAGCCGAAAGTGAACATAAACGTTGAATCTAAGCATTTGCACCTATAGCAATTCTAGGAGCAAAAGAAAGAGTGCACAAATAAGTTTCAGAGAAAGAAACCAATACCCGGTGAAAAGCCAACGCCGAAGCTTTGACGAATGTGGCGCAAATGGCATAGAAGACTCTCAGCATTAGCATTGGATCTTTCCTTGCAGAAGCAAATGCCTTGGAGAAAATCACTTTGAGCCGTTGATCTCTCAGGATCAGTTTATAATCATGGAAAGCCGTTTCGCTATAAGACCGAACTTTGGAGCTAAGCTGTGTGTTGTTAGGGTTTCCCAAAGCTTTAGACATCCACTGATAGAGTATATCTGCAAGAACCCTGCAGAAATGTTGCCGAATTACATCTGCCTCCTTTGAAACCATGGCACTAAGTAATGAAGACCCGTCCTGCATCACAAGTGGAAGGAAAATAATCTAAGATAGTAAGGTGTTGTAAACCCAATGATGAAACCAAATCAGATGTTATGATGCTTCAGAAAGAAAAAGTTAGACAAAGATCAAAAGCATTCAAATCAGACCAGAAAAATTCTAGATCATGTCATGCTTTTTCAGGCGAAGAGAAAATATCCCGAGTCTAAAAAACTATAACAGATAGCAACACCAAATTTAAATTGGATACGACTAGACGGCACACATCTTCTGGTGGCCGACAACAAAACACCAAATCTGGCTTTGAAAGAAGGGAGGGCAGAATAAATAAACGGATAAACCTAAAATGGCTAAAAGAGAGCTATATTGATTTAAGACTTGAAAGATGAGAAGCTATCAACTTGGGCCTTAAATAATTAACCCAGCCCATGACTTATAAAATCACAGCTTTCCCTTCTTTTCAAATTTTTACTACGTATTTAGTATTAATAAACCCGTGCATGAATTTTCATCAAAAAGTGACATACAATATATTTAAAATTAAAATAAAATATTTGAAATTCATGATTTGTTTAGTCATAGATTGATTTCTCCAATCATCCAAGTCTTTCATTTATGTTTGGATCTCTGATGATCGGGGGTAAGGTTGTTGTCTCCTAAGTACTAACTCTAACCATGAGGGATAGAAAATGCCCCAAAAAAGAAAAAGTCTTGTTTGCACAACAAGAAACGCGATTCTTTTTTTGGGTGAGGGGTGGCACTATTATACTAATACTAGAAAAAAAAAGAGACGTGATAGAAAGTTGGCATATTTCATGTGGGGATTTCCTTCATAAGCTCAAAGGTACTCACTGCTGTCATCAGGAGTCTTCTAAGCACTGCACCATCTTTAGAGGGTAGTAATCTTAACACCATATTTGCAGCATCAACTATACCATTGACTTCCTTTGCAGAGTAACCAGTCAATTCTTGAGAGTTGGTCCCCATCACATAATGCAAACCTTTCCTAGAAAGATAATAAATTATCAATGTTAGGGAGTGTACTGTGTACATACTGGGTACCATCATTTGGCCCCTTAATGTGTCCCAAAGTTTAACTGTTATATACTGCTCCATCTGTTAAAAAAGGATGTCACTTTATAGTGTCACACATACTGAGGAATTCTTAAAATATAGTATATGGATATAAGTGAAAAATACTACTTGCCCTAATTAAATGCAGTTAAACTAGTTCATAAATATGAGAGGTTGTGCCCTGATAATCAAACAACAACAACCCAGTAGAATCCCACAGAGGTAGAGGTAGGGTCTGGGGAGGGTGTGTGTATGCAGACCTTACCCCTACTCAAAAGTAGAGAGGTTTCCAAGAGACCCTCAACTCGAGTAACACAAAAAGCACACAAAAAACACAGAGCACACAGAAAGAAGCATAAAGCATGCTAAAGATAGAAAAAAACAAGAAGCACTAAGCACATGAAGCACAAATCGTTAAGCACGAAAACTACCACTATACTACCCAACTATCCTAATCCTATCTCTCCAAACACTTATCTAAAGTTATATCCTCGGTAAGGGCCAAAAGTCTAAGGTATTGGCTAACCACCTCTTTCCAAGTCCCCTTAGGTCTACCCCTACCCACATTCCCGCCCACCACTGAAAGCCTCTCACATCTCCGCACCGGAGCCTCAGCACTTTGCTGTTTCACGTACCCAAACAAACTCAGCCTAGCTTCCCGGAGCTTACTCTCCACAAAAGCCACTCCCGCCCGTTCCCGAATAATGTCGTTCCGAATCCTATCCAACCTTGTCTGCAGCACTCTGCCCACACATCTAACATAGCATCCGCATCTCCGCAACATGTACTTGGTGAATGTGAGTTTTCTTAACCGCCCAGCACTCTGCTCCGTACAATATGGCTGGTCTCAGAACAACCCGGTAGAACTCCCTTTACATCCTGGCCGAAATCTTCCTGTCACAGAGTACCCCTGAAGCCAACTACCATTTGGCCCAAGCAGCTCCGATACTATGCAGTGATGCACAACATCCCCGTCTATCTCCCCATCAGCCAACATCACCGTGATAATAAAATAATGAAAGGAAAATTTGAAAATGTGAAATAAATTTGGTTTTGAAAATGTAAAATGAGAAGCAACCTCGGACAAGAAAATTGAAGTGAAATTCTTTGTGGAGTGAAGGCAATAGTGGAATGCTGTGTGTACTGTGTACATGACATAGGTTGAATTAGCAAAATTTTACTAGTAGTAAATAGATACGGGTATGAGGGAAGAAATAGGAGAATCATTTTGGATAGTGAAGACATAATTTGACAGCATAGCATGTCAAAATCATAATGTTGGAAGACATTTTAGAAGTGATTGATTGTAATAATTGAAAAATAAAACAATGCTAAACAATGAAATTGTAGACATCTTAATAAAAACAAAAAATTAGATTACTTCAACATGAGGGCAAAGGTTATGAAGTCTACAAACATTTAAGAACAATTAAAAGATGGATAAACTGTAGACCTAGTTGCTCCCACTCTTAAGAAAAGAGAGAGTCTTTTCCACTGGAATTCCTTTCTCCTATTCAGCACCACCTGCACGTATACTAATGAAGATTAAGAACCCAATCATTGACCAGAATGAATGCAACATTATTTTGTTCATAAAATAAAACAGAGTAAGCAAAAAGAGATTTATAAGTAGAAGTCAATCTAGATAGATACAAGAACCTTTGACATAATATACTGACATCATTATACATATGCATTGGCAAATATGGAAAGCAATATTTCAGGTTAAACCATACAGAGTGTAGGATCTTCCTCATGGCAGGTGAATTATCGGTGAGAAGTTTCCGGACAACAAAGGGATATGCAGCTTCGAATGTTTTAAACCTTGGATCTGCAGCCACTGCTAATCCTGAGAAGAAGATCAAAGGGTGAGATCTTAAGTGATTGAAGAAAGGGATCCCTAGGTAGGAAATAATTTTTTTTAATGGAGTATTAAACCTGATACTGTAAATTGTCTTCACATACCAGTTAGCAAAGAAATACATGGATGGAAAGGCAAAGATGATAGTGCTCTAGTTAGCTAATAGGCATGTAATATACAAGGCCTTAGCAACTTCAAAAACCTAGTGAAAAAGTGAAGCTGACTGCTTTAAATAAAAGTTTTGGTCCCCCTCTCCCCAAAAAGACCAAAAAAACAAAACAAAACAAAACTCGACATTTTTAACATTTTTATTTATTCAGTATCAACAGAGAAAGGATGCCAATGGCAATAGCTCAAAATAATTAGGGAAAAAAGGGAGGAAACCAGTATGATGGCTTAATATACAATGCAAAGGATCTTGGAATTTGTTGATATACCTTCCAGTGAAGCAAGAGATCGGAGGAGAAGGGTATAGTATGGGGGCATGCGGAAATGAAATTTGAATGCTACAGACAGTATTTTAGCAAGGACCTTCAAAACAAAAATCATAATAATCAGCTATCTAATTCAAGCACATCAGAATATACAGACCAGAGCTATAAAAGCCAGACCCAAGTGAGCATGGTAAGACACTCAAGAAATCATCAAAATACTCCCCCGTCTCAAAAAGAGTTTTCCACTTCCCTTTTTCGTCTATCCATATAGCTTCCCGCTTTTCCCATTTCCTAATAAGGTAAGGAATATGCGGCTCCCGCATTTCTCTCTTCTAATCAAACTATAACCACACTTTTAATAAAATTTGTGAAGCAAAAGTGGGAAATATCTTTTTGAGGCAGAGGTAGTAATGAAGTAAATTGTCTACTTTTCAGCTATTCAACTAATGGAGATAGTGCAATTGCATGTATCAAATAAGATGGTTATGAACTTTCAAATGGGAAGATTTCATATAGTGAGATCNGGTAGTGCAGTTGCCGCCAGTCGCCCCTCAATTCCCGCGATAAGTTCCTAGCTATGTCACGGTCTTCTTACCTAATACTACACAATTTACATGGCCACATAACACTAATCACACCACACCACAGTTGCACTTAAACTCAGGAGTGGGCGAGTGGCAATGGTAAAACACTACAGCTTCAAATCTCACATGCTCTAATCTCATATCATTGACTTATCAAATGTGCTGAAGTTATTTGATGATATACAAAAGAGTAATTTATTTGGTGGAGAAATGTGAATGTTGTGAGTTTTTGGTCTTGTTGTAGTAAGCCTTCCAAGTGAAGTGGTTTGATAATTAAAAAAACAAGTGGCATCAAAATATATGACTCTTACCCGACTAAACTTTACATCAGGAATTCCATCCTTGACCTCAACTTCTCCTAAAGCATCTTCCAGTTCCTATAGTTTTGTTGTATACAGTGGAAAGTTAGCTAGAAATTTTTATGAAAAATACCGTGAAATAAGTATCTTTAAATCTTTTAAAATACTTAAATGACAAATTAGAAGATTAAAACTTGAAAAGGAATTGTTGAACTTAAAGGTACCATCCTACTACCATTGTAACAAGTCTCTTATTAGTCCCTGGCTTTATGACATCCATTTGAGAAAGCGCTTGCACAAGAGATGCCCAATCACCATTTACAATATGCACTATAGATGCAAGCATGGCATACTGATGCTTCTTTTCCATCCGACAAAGCAATCCGAAATCAAGAAACCTGCAGTAATTGATAGCCATAGAGAAACAAGATTTACTAAAATATAGAAACTTGTCCAGTGAGGTGATCAGAAATTGCATCAAATAAGTTAATAAGTTCACCCTATTTGTCCTGAAGGAGTGTAACGCAGATTTCCAGGATGTGGATCAGCATGCAATGAGCCAGTCTCAATGAGTTGAACTAATGATGCCTCCACCCCCTTGTTAACCTAGAGAATTATTAAAGCAACGGATTGATTGGCATTTTGAATGCAGCAGAAAAAAGTAAATTAAGTATTTATGTTAAGATTAAATGCCAAAAACATGCATAAAGCATAGCGGCAATATTAAAGCTGGATGTCCTTCATGTTGTAACCTTCTCAAGAAGGAATAATGATATAAAAAATCAAAAACCATCCTCATGGGATTAAGGTGCTGATATTAGTGATGATCATGGTGGTAGTGATAATGGGGGTCATCATTGAATACTATGCTGATACGATGATATATGGACCTTTTATTCTGGGGGGGGGGCAAGAGTTTGAGTTTCTAGAGCCACTTCTGTTAAAATATTTCAATCAATCGGGGATTATTGATGAACTTAATAGGATTAAAATGTCTCAACTTGTAAAAAGTTATAAAAAAAAAGAAGAGGATTTTCAACTCACTAGATCGAGCAAACGTCGTTTGGCATCCTTTTGCAGTTGATCCGAACATGCTGAATGATGACCAACAGGTTCCTTTGAAGATATTGATATTAAATTAGTTGGACTTTCACCAACCATCCATTCCATGGTTAAAACTCTCTTTCTACTAAGATGTGGTAAAACTTTTGGCACACAAATGAAGGAAAATCGAGCATGTTTCTCCTGCATGCATATTCATTTAGAAAAAAGAAGCAGATTAAAAACAGCTTTGGTTTTAAATGCACCGTCAACTACTCAAAGAAAGAATTTGTCATCTAGTTATATGCTATTTCATTTCTGTAGGGGTATGGATCTATAGCTTTTTTTGTTCTTATTTCCAGATACAAAGAATATGATTGGGGTGATGTGTCTTGGGCAAGCATGGTTTAATAAATATAAAAAAAGGGAAGCTAAGATACCATGAATTCTAAAGCATTTGCAGCCTCCAATGTGTAATCTAATTCTCCAACTAAAGCTTTCCCAAGTTCATCAGCATAAATGCGAGGATCACTTTTCCTTCTTGCTACCTTTTGCAAAATACCCAGCTAAAAACCACGGTGCCACAAAGTTAAGAAAGTTGGCTTATGAATATTGTAGATTCAATAAGATTTGGGCACATACCCCAAGGCGTAAAATGTGTACATCACGAACAACCACATGGTGTAGACCAGGGCGTTGTACTTTCACGGCAACATTAAGACCATCAAGTGTGTTTCCTCGATAGACCTGAACATACAGGAAAAAAAGGCTAACACGTAAGGAGTAAACATGCCATGATTGAAAAATATAGGAAGCTCTCAAAATCAGAAAGTTTTAATAGTGCTTTATTCATCTCTACAAATGTATGCAACCTGACCAAATGAAGCTGCGGCAACAGGCTCCTCAGAGACGTAGCTAAATAATTGTTCTATCGGAGATCCTAATTCTTCCTCAATAATTTTCATAGCTGTATCCCTTGGAAAAGGAGGGATTTGATCATGCAGTGAGGACAATGCCTGCAATCATTGACTTAAACAAAAAATGAAACTACAACATGATCTAACAGAGACATATTAGATGGTTAATTACAATAAAACATGAAGTCATAGGTCAGACGCAAATGAAATATAAGAAAGAGCGAGGAACTACTATGAAAATGTACACATGCAGGCAATGTAGCAGACTAGTATATACTAGCCTAGTAACCTCTATTCATTAGTGGGAACAGTTCAACTTCATATTTGCCGGTACACAATGTTGACCATTAATATACAGAGTATTATTTATCCATTAGCAAAAAAATTATAGAAAGTTGATATACTGATAATATACATTGACACACACTCAGTACAAAAATGCAATCAAAGTAACTACTATGAAAACGCACACATGTAGACAATGCAGTACACCAGTATATACTAACCTCTATTCGTTAGGGAAGTTTGACTTCATATTTGCCAACACACAACATTGACCATTAATATACATTTATACAGAGTATTATTTATCTATTAGCAAAAAACTACAGAAAGATGATAAATTGATAATATAAATTGACACGCACTTAGTACAAAAGTACAGTCAAAGTAAGATATGTTTCTCTAAACTGAAAAAGAACAGAGAATGTAGTTTTTTTCAATATTTTCCTTCTGCTCATTCCAAAATAAGGTCCTTGTTTCTTATACGAGGAGAATTGTGTGATTCATCTCATTTCTCTCTCCTCTAAATACAACTCAAGCACCCGATTTTATTTTGGGAGAAAGACTAAAGTATGACTAAAACATTGAAAATATACCATAATAGGACTTTCATGTTTTTATTCCCGAAATAGGACTTAAAATGCATTCACATTATCAAACATGGTCATGTACATTACCAAAAAGTATAGTAATGTGCACATGTACAGTGCCACATTACAACCACATTACCGCCGTGTGAAGTCCTATTTCGGGGAAAAAACATGAAGTCCTATTTTGGTATTTTTCTCTATGTTTTAGTCCTATTTATGGTGATTTCTATTTTATTTTCTCAATAAATGTGTCATAAACTCAAATCACACCAATAACCTTATTTTGGGAGGGGGAAGTACTTCTATGATGTTGCTAATAAGATGCAATATTAATGTATTACACACACCATGTGTGCCACTATTTTTTTGCTTTATGTTTTTCTCTATTCACTATTTTCATCTCATCTTTAGTAACATTTGTGTAACTCGCATTCATTCTTACTTCTTACTTTTTAACATCAATATCAACGGTGCAAATTCACTTTTCTTAATTTGTGTGCTACTACCCCATGTCCCAAAAACAGCTAGAGTAGACAGAGTGTGTGTTCATGCATGTGCGTAGGTATGAGTGTATGTATATACGCTATGTTGGATGGATTAATTTTATTGTAAACTAAAAAGCACTGAAAACAGGTGTGCTTATTAATATCAGCATGAATTGTGATGATCACATAAGGAACTGCAGAATTCATTGAGGGAAATAATATAAAGACCATTTATGTTTTATTTTTACCAACCTTTGAAAATTCAGTACCAATAATATCTGGTCTTGTGGAGAGAGACTGACCAACTGCAAAACAAGAAAGATAAACCAAGAATGTGGTATTTATAGACGGCTTGAAAAAACATAAATATTTGTTCAATCTGCGAGCAATAAAAGAAATCATGGAAATTTAAAAAAAATATAATAGCACTTCCATTTCCTTAACTCATAAGATCTATTATCTTACTTTTTATAAAAGTGGGGCCCAATCTTAGCAATGTCTCCTTTAATACACTTCCAAATATGAACTGTGAAGTTTCCCTATCAACTTCCTTATTTACAGTGGGAAGAATCCCATAGATCTGAAATATGATCGCGGTAGATGCAAAGGCAACAAATACCTGCCAAAATAAAATGGCAAGCAAAAGGAACAGCTTAGTAAACAGCCATTTTAAGTTATCAACAGATTGCTTTGAAATCTATTCACTATGTTGTCCCCTTACAGTTATAACATGGATAATGGATTCTATGGTCCAACAACAAAACTACCGAAGTACATGATACTTTCCAGCATCAAAAGACTGGCAGACAAACATCTATTATGGACTTGCTTGCCTCTTCCAAAACATTCCACCCTCCCCCCTATGTTTGATTGTGATTATTCATGCTTATAGAGGCTTGGCACTGAATTGATAGTGAAGAGTCCAACATCGAAATATTAGCCGGTTGAGTGACCCTTTAGTTTAACTAGTGTGCATTATAGCCGGTTGAGTGACCCAACTCCAGTATAATATCAGAGAGATGACAAAAGTTAAAACTTATAATTCTGTCAGAGAGACATTTTGGCTACCTCGAGAAGACGGAAAGCCACAATGTGAGGCCTCAAATTGAAATAGTCAGCAACTTCCTGAGGATCATAGTTTTCAGGAAGCGGTCTGGTCCATAGCTTTGAGAGACAGTGGAAATAGTTGAAGTATGCCTTCAGTGCTTTGAGATCAGCCACAAACAAATCCAATCCAGAAAGTTCTGTCAACATTGTCAATGCTAAAATTTCAACATACAATAACAAAACATGACAGGTGTGAACCACTCATGAATGACTGACCTTCCTTAAACTACTACAGACTCTCCCTTTCTTTATTTTGATTAGCCCTACCACTCAATTTACACCCGTGATTGCCATTGCTAACAATTTTTGTATTAAAACGCACACAAACAGGGCAAAATCAAACATGATATGAACTGTGCGAGTTCAATTAACATCAACAGACAGATTTTACAGCATTGCAGCACGGATAAGCGAACCTGGGTACCAAGGCTGAGGCCACTGATTAGGGCTTCGAAGCTCAGCTGAAGAAGGCTCCTGGTTCTCGATAGTCCGTAGCCAAACCAAATCGCTAACGGATTTCGAGAGATTCGGAAGTCTAAAAGCCTGGTTGGCCCATCGAAGGCCTTTCTGTAAAAACTCAGAATCCTTGCGAATCACCTTCTGCTTCTGGACAGCCTTGCTCTTGTTCTTCTTCTTCTTCACTGTGGTGAAAGGGGCGGCGGCCTTGGCGGAGCAGAGAACGGAGGTGGAAGCGGCTAAAGGCGTGGCCGGGAAAGCCATTTCTGTCGCCTCGTCAATAACGGACGTTATTCGAGTAGGTGCTCTGCATTAACAATCTTTCTGTATGGCCGGCAAAGGTCGTCCTGTTGGAATGGAAGGTGTCCAGCTTGAAAAGATAACATTAAGGTTATCTCAACTTTATTTTTAAGAATAAATTCCATAATTGGTCATTTATAACAGAGGGTTTCCCTATTTAGTCCTCTATTATCAAATATTATTCCAGTGGTCCTTCTTTTGTGGGTATCTTTCCACAAATAGTCCTTTTTTGATCTTCTATCATGTTGGTGTTAATTTGAGGGCTAAAAGTGTGATTTTACAATGATAATATATCTTTTTTGTCATACACAATTCCAAAGGTTGTTCCGTTTCCATCGTTTGTGAATTACATTCGCTTTCTACTACAACCATAGACTACAAATGTGGTCTTTCGTCGGAATCCTAGCTCACAATCATAGTCATTATTTTTGTGTTATCCGCTTAACCAATATCAGAATACGTCACTAAACATAAGGTTGATGTCAAATTATACTTTTAGCCTTTAAATTAATATCAACATGGTAGACGATCAAAAAAAGATCATTTGTGGAAAGGCACCCTTAAAAAAAGGACTACGAGGATAATATTTGATAATAGATGACTAAATATAGAAACCCCCTGTTATAAAGTACCAATTATGGAATTTACTCTATTTTTAATGTCTTTAAAATTAATTTATATAATTAAATTTTATTCAAAATCCTAACGTGAATATGTTATTTTCATATAAAACATCTTGAGAAAACCATCTAAATATGAGTAAAACATATGTTATAAGAAGTATTTTTAAAATAAGAGTTCAAACTAAAAATTTTCTAAATAAGAGTAATTAATTAAATTTTGTTTTTCATCTAAACATATCACTCAAACTACTCGTATCTATTTTCGATCGATTATCCTAGATCAATTCCAATCGATCTCCCACTCCTCTCTCCTCACTAGATTAATTCCAATTGGGATCGCCACCAAATCGCACCCACCACACTTAGGGGCTGTTTGACAACTTCTGAATAGGTAAGTGCTGAACCAGTAAGAGGTCTGAACCATTAAGTGCTGAACCAGTAAGAGGTCTGAACCATTAAGAGTTAGTATATTGCTTAACTATTTAGAGGCAAATGTCTGATCAATTCAGATAAGAGGTCTTAACCATTCAGACTCTGTATAATACTTAACCATTCAGAGGCAAATCTCTTAACCATTCAGACATCTGAACCATTAAGAGGCTGAAACAAACAGCCCCTTAGTCGCATGCTGCCACCCTACATCTTGAGGAATTTGGATATACTCCCTCCGTCCCATAAAACTTTTCTCCTTTCTTTTTTCATCCGTCCCATAAAACACTTCTCATTTCTATTAAAAAGTCACTTTTACCCCTTACTTTTTCATACCCTACCTATCACATCATACCTTTTTACTAATAATCTACCCATCAAATCCTACTTTTACCCATCACATCAAAGGACATTTTTGGAAATTCAATACCAAAATACACTCCCTTAAATCTCTTTAAAAAGCAAAACATCTCATGTTTCATGGGACGGAGGGAGTAGTTTTCATCAATTGAGCTCCTTGTTCGTTCTCTTCCAAAACCAGCATGATCCTCACTTTGTTCCGTGATCATATCTGAAATTATTACTTAGATGAACCTCGCAATCGCTTCAAGGGGTGATTGGTGTGATTTGTCAATTTTGGTTATTAATTAGGTGATTCTAATTTGCTTCTACGGAAAGATAGAAAATTTTAGCATTATATTAGCATTTATCGGTGTTGGTACTGTGATGTCACTGTATGTTAGCAACCTACATTGTTTTTAGCATTTTACTTTGCATTTTACATTATACATTATCATATTTGTCATTACGAATAACCATTTTAAACATTATATTTGCATTTTTAACAGTTATTGTGGTGGCACCACATGCCATGTGATCGTGAAAGTGGTAGACTGTGGCACTGTCGGGGTGGCGACAAAGCACGGCAACAACAGCGTAAAAAACAAATGTGATTGAAGTGGCGGCATGGGCGGTGTTGTCGGTGGCATCACAAGTGGCGGTTGGAGAGCCGATGTCGACGGTGAATAGGGCAGTGCATCGCCGGCATCGTCGGTGACGCCATCGTCGGCACCGACTGGAGTGCTACCATCACTGGCAGTTGTATGGCACATTTGAGTAACAGTAGAGTCAATTAAAAATTTGTAATTGTTACTTTGTATAATATAATTTCTATTTTGGATATTTATTTCTACTCCTATCTTGGTATATAAGTATATTGTTAATGTTTTACTTCCATTTTGTTCATTAACTCTTAGATTAATGAAGTTAATTACTCTTATTTAGGATCTGTTTGGTAATAGTATTAAAGATTAGCGTTAGCGTTTTCAAAATAATCTGCATCGTTAAAATTTTATACAAAATGCTAACACTAATCTATAACGCTATTCCCAAAGAGACTCTTAGAGGAGTTAAACTTTCAACTCTTTTTTTGATAATATGAGATATTTTTTACACCCAATATGGTTCTTACTCTTAGAAGAGTAGAAGGTGTGAAGTACTCCCTCCGTTTCTTAAAACGGTTCCTGTTTTGACTTTGGAGAAAAATAAGGAAAATGTAATTTTAGTTGACTTTTCAATTTTGTCCCTAATGTGATGGGAAAAAGTAAGATGTGATAGTTTAGTTATTAGTGAAAAAGTATAATGTGATAGGTAGTGGTAAAAGTGGTTTTTTAGTAGAAAAAGTAAGTGTTTTAAGAAAAACAAAAAAAATGAAAGAGGAAGGGTTTTAAGAAACGGAGGGAGTAGTATATACACAGTGATAAGTATTAAAAACTAGATGGAAAAATTTAAAAAATAAATTAAAATACTTTTATTGACTAAAAAGTCTAAACTTCCTCTGTTCATATTATTGATTACAATCGATACTTAACCCACAATCTCGTTTGGATCGACATCCGGTCCAATCTTCAAAAGCCCGCCACGTAGATTTGAACAATGGCATGGGAGTGAACCTGAGCCACAAAATCCGGCTCCGATCTAAAAATCCCTTGCAATTCCACGTGGCCCAATCACACAAGATGATCTATCATCCTCCCCGTTGAATATACTCCGTTATCTATTCATCGTCGTCTATGTTTTCTTTCTTTCTTTCTCTTTTTTCTATCTCCTCTTCCCACCGCTCAAAACACAATTACTGTAATTCTAAGAAGACCTAAACAAACAAACAATAAAAATGGCTTCCAAAGCAATGATGACGAGCTGCGGCGTTGCGCCACTCTGCTCCTCCTCGCTCCTCTCTTCTTCCAAGCCCAAATTCTTCCTCGCCGCCGCGCCCTTTCCCGGCGCCGCCGCTAATGTGACCACCTCCGCCGTCAAGGCCACCATGTCATCCTCCGACTGGATGCCCGGCCAGCCCCGCCCTCCCCACCTCGACGGTTCTGCTCCCGGGTGATTATATACGAACTTCCCATATCTGTTGCTTCCCTGACCTATTTGGGTTTATCATTAACCAAACTTATTGCTTCTTCATCCCCAAATTTTAAATTATGGTTTGATTTTAGGGATTTTAAGATCCATTTTAGGGATTTGAAGAATATAAGATCCATTTGCAAACATTGTATTGTTAGAGCATTTTAGTGGGACACCTAACACATTTTGTATCTTCAATGGTCTCTACAATGTCACAACACTTAAGTAACTCTACATATAAACATTTTACATATGCTTTAATGGTAAATTCAAGCAATTCACAACTCCATAGCATTATATCATTCAAAAATATTTTGATAATATTGTTAACACCAAAAGTTGTCTGTGTGGAAGGAAGTGTATGTAAGTTTTTGTGCTTGTATGTGTTTGCCTTTGGTTCGTAATAGCTATTCCATAACGTCGAAACTCAACTCTAATGTGGATTAAATAACGTCTTTTACATAGTGAGATTTGGAAATTGCAGAGACTTTGGTTTCGACCCACTTGGTTTGGGGGAAGTGCCACAACTCCTCGAGAGATACAAAGAATCTGAACTAATCCATTGCAGATGGGCTATGCTTGCCGTGGTACGTCATTGATTAGCCATTTCTATGTTAAATGGCGATAAGATATTTAAATCAAACTAAAAATAGATTGAATCCAATCAATTATCTAGTTCAACAGACTGTATGTTGGTTGGTTTGGACAGCCAGGAATTTTGATCCCGGAGGCAATGGGGTTGGGGAATTGGGTAAAGGCACAAGAGTGGGCAGCAATTCCAGGAGGGCAGGGGAGCTATTTGGGACAACCCGTCCCCTGGGGCACCCTCCCCACCATCTTTGCCATCGAACTTCTTGCCATTGCATTCGTAGAGCACCAGAGAAGCATGGAGAAAGACGTGGAGAAGAAGAAGTACCCCGGGGGAGCTTTTGATCCCCTGGGCTACTCCAAGCAGGATCCTGCTAAGTTCCGTGAGCTCAAAGTCAAGGAGATCAAGAATGGTGAGCCATATTATTCTAAGTTTCCATATTGGGAGGAATCTTCATTATTTAACAAGGTCAATTATTATCAAACTGTATCGTCTTAGAACTCACATAAGATATTATCAAATTTTTGAATGTGAGACGTGCAGGACGGCTAGCATTGTTGGCGTTCGTGGGGATATGCGTTCAGCAGTCGGCGTACCCGGGAACAGGGCCGCTGGAGAACTTGGCAGCCCATTTGGCAGACCCATGGCACACCAACATTGGAGACGTCATCATCCCCCCTTCTCTTTTCCATTGAAAAATGAAAGAAAGAACTAAAGAAAGAAAAAATTGCCTGGATTCTTGTAATTACACTACTACTTAATTCATAACTCCCAGGCTTGGTTCTTTGCATAATTCTCTTGTCGATTGGAGTTCCTATGCCCCAAAAAAACGTACAAAAATTATCACAATTTTTTTTTAAATTTTTTTTATTTCCTAAATATCCTCAAATAAGTAAAGAATAAGGATCGGTTGGTGAGTCGTCCTGGATGGTTTATATGAGATCTTCAAATGGCACACATCCCCTTTAATCCCTTTATTGATCAACTCGCCCATATGGCCATATCCTTCTTTACTAAGACACTTAATTGCCTTAGCGCCGTTTTCGTATTTATTGTTCAAACTGGGCACCCGTAATCCACATGCTCTCTAGTTTGAGGGGGGTATGACGAAGATCTTCCAAAGTGTTCTACTAATGTTATTTTGGTTCCTACCTTATCTCGACTTTAATATTTGTGGTAGGATCAGAAGTTTGAAAAGACTCGGTTTCTTTCATTTTACAGTGTATTTTGTTTTAATTTCTCTCTATATAAATAACACGTGGATTTTATAATTAACCAGCAGAACTTTTGAAAATATCCAAATACAAAGTACTCCCTCCGTCCTAAAACTTTCTTCCCGTTGCGCAAAACGAAGAAAAATCCCAAGTTTTTTCAATCTATTTTATTTAAATATTGGCATAGAAATAAAAAAAATAAAACATACATATTTAAAAACTACATCAAAAGTTCAACAAAACAAGTGGTGACAAGAATATTTTATTTTATCATATAGGCCATGAAAAAACACAAATAAATATAAATTCCCGTGAAGTTGGAATAGTGCTCTGGGAAGAAAGTTTTAGGACGGGGGAGTATTATTCTACTCTTTTTAAAAAGTTAAACCTAAGTGTTGAAAGTATTGTGAATCGAGTCCATAGTAATATGACAAATTCTATGGTGGACCTAACGTCCACCATGGACCTACATATGAGCATAATAAGCATATTTTTACTACTTAAATAAGCATTTAAATTTTCTAAATAATTTTTTATGTGAGAAGATCCAGAAAAATAATATGCACCGATGTGCACTAAAGAAGAACTCTAGCTAGTAACATAATTAATACGGTAAATTACATGTAGAGGCACGCAATGGTGTAGCCATCCATCCATTCATAGCTCCTCTAATCATTGAAGAATACAAAATGTCTAGAGATAGCTCATGTTCTCTTAAACTTATATTATTTATTACATTTTTGTAATTAGAATCAATTCAATCCATATCATATCTTGCTAGATCAGATCTGAAATAACTTTAAATATAATTATATTTAAATTAGATCAGAATCTATTCCAATGAGATTAGAACTATTTATATGAGGTGACACATATTGGCTGAAATCACAAAGCTAGAGGAATTGAACTCATCATATATATATATATATATTTATATATTATGAAACCGAATATATCTATGTGTATATGGACCATGCATGTGTGATGTATACATAGCTAGTATATATAGATAGATAGATAGATCTCTCTCAGATATATATGATACATACATATCATATGCCTCCAAGACAATGAGGACATACCTTTTTTATGACAATTGTTTTGTTGTGGTTTGTTTCCTTGCGCCAAACCAATATTCCCTTTCATTCCCATGTTTCTTTCCACATTGTTTTTGAACCACATTTTTTTAATTTTTGTCTTTATTAGAGTCTAAAATTGAAAAGAAATCTAACAAATTTATAAACTCATGATTAAACTGGTTATTTAATTGATTGAGTCCAATTTTTTAATATGATTTAATCCAATTCATCTTATGATGATCCATGCCACATTCGTTTCAAAATTGATAACTAGCTAGAATAGTCTACACTGAAGTGATAACAATTGAAGTTTGGAATCTGGTAATAAGAATTAATACTAGCTAGTAGATTAAAAAGAGTGTTACCTTCTTTTTTTTTCTTCGTTTCGTTTGACTCTTTTTGGTGAATATATTTTTAAGTTTGATTTTTAAGTTTGATAATAATATTTGTAAATGCATGTCTCTATGGTTCCTATGACATTGGAAATCAATGTCATAGGATGACTCGGGGTGCTCCAATGCTCCGTTCGTAAAATTGACGGTTTCTACCCTTCTTAACTTTCGGTAATCTCCCATCCTGCACCGACTCGAACACACCCCAAAGTAAAAATTAACTTGGGGGTACAATTGAAAGGGTGAGGGTTTTACTGGAGTAGTTAGTGGGGTTAGAAACCGTCAATTTTATGAATGAGACACCGGTGCACTCTCGGGTCATCTTATGACAATGATTCCAATGTCACGTGAACCGGCCCGTATTAATTGTTACGGGGTATATACCGGAGAAATTTACCTAAATAGGACTAAAACATAATGACTTTCCCAATATAGGACCATATCTTTTTATTTCCCAATGTAGGACCTTTGGTCATTATAAAGTAGTCATTATTCAAGTAAATGTTCATCATTACTGGACATTATTCTTCCCACTAGGTCATTATTAAGTCCTATTTAGAGAATAAAAAAGTTTAAGTTCTACATTAAGAAAGTCATTATGTTTTAGTCCTATTTAGTGCAAATTTCACTCTGCGTATGGGCTTGAGTTCAATGATTGTAATGAAAAATGCAATTTTCGCCAAATAAAATTTGCTCCACTATTCTCACATACTCTGTCATATACGGACGGAGTATGATCGAATTGTAAAGATACTCCGTATAACTTTATTTGTAAGATCATATATACTCCGTATATATTTGTGACTTTCTGTTTTAAAAATGACAAAAAATTAGGGACATTCCGTAAGATTATATCTAAAAGTTTTTGAAAAAAATATGCATGTATACAAAATAAATGTTCATATTCATAATTTATTCTGATCTATTTTTGAAGTATTACAGTGTACAAAATAAAATATAATGATGAAAGAATAAAATGTACTCTGTATTTTATTTTGGGTAAAGTACTTACAAGGTCATTATATTTTTTAAAACTGCTTTTCAAGTCTCTGAATTATTTTAACTGCTTACAAGGTCCCTGTATTTTTTTAAGAAATGTTTCACAGGTTCTTAAATTATTTTTTATATTTATTCAATCCCTTTTCTTTTTAACAGGTGCTTTAGTGGTCCTTTTGGTGGCTTTTTTAGGCCAAATCTCCTAAAATTGTTGTAAGAATTGACGTTATATCATAAGTTTTCGAATAACTTGTGTGTGTTGCTGAAACAATTTCCGCACACTTGATCTAAAAAATGTCACTCAAGGGACCACTAACACACCAGAAAGAAAGTATATGGACCTTGTAGGAACTAAAAATAATTTAGAAACCTATATAGAGTACTTTCAAATTAAAAATATATAAGAATCTAGTAAACACTTAAATTAAATCAAAGACTTGAAAAATATTTTTTTAATAAAAATATAGAAACTTTGTAAACATTTTACCCTTTTATTTTTTTTATTAATCAATGCATTGCAAAATTATAATGATGAAAGAATAAAAGGAGATATGTTGGATTTGAAATGCACCAATGATGATGTGTGGCGAAAGGGACTTTGATTCTACATTAAAGTACTACATTTGACCAGCAAGACCATGTTGCCTTTGAACAACTTTATAATTATTTCCTCCCTCCCATGTTCAAATTAACTCTCCTTTTTCTTCTTTCTAGGCTCCAAGTAATGAGTCCTATGAGCCTGTAACATCTTTCTTTCATGTTAAAAATGAGGCACACCTAATTTGATTGAGGTTTTGATTTTGAAATTAACAATAAGGCAAGAAGTTACATTACTATACATATAACGTCCCTCACTTATAAACACTCTCGTGGATACATTTGAGCTAGATCTCGAGATGCAGTTGCTCGTTGGTACGTCCCGTATCACCATGCAAAGATATCGGACATTGACAGAATACAAATTTTATATTTTATTTTCTTGTAATTCTAACCAATCAAAATTTAACACATCTGCACGACATCTCGTCCCTCTTGGTATACTAGGTAGCCTAATAATGGGGTTTAGTGGGGAATCTTGTTAGGGTTTAGACTTAGTTGCATAAAAAAACATGGAAGTAGACAAGAAAAAAGACAAGTCTGAAAAGAAAAAAAGAAAGAAAAGGGAAGCATGGAAGTGGAAAGAGAGAGAGGGGTAATAATTGAAAAAGAAAAGAATGCTAAATTAGCGTTTACTTTTATTCTGGCGCATTTGTTTATTGACATGAAAACAGAAAGAAAGAAAGAAAGAAAGAAAGAGAAGGTGGGAATCCATGTCGGCCAAACACTCCCCGACAAACGAGGCTCAGATATGCTAATTAGCTCTACCCTCAAAAAAGAAGATCATATCATAGATTTAAAAAAAAATATATAAAGGGACCTTAGTTTTATGGGAAAGTGAAAAAGGCCCCCCCCTTTCAAAATCCTTTGAATTTGTTCTCACAAACCGTATGGTACCGGTTCTGGTTTTGGTGCGATTTTACTTTAGCTCTCGAGTACGACAAAGTCTGCGTGCATACGTTGTTAACCCCGAATCATGCGTTTGTCGGGAAAGAATACTCGGTATACAGTGACCTTCGTCATTCGTCTACTGATTTACGTAAAGAAAAAATGTGAACAAACTCTTTTAAAAAGGAGTTGAAATTGGGACCACTAGTTCCGTTCCGAAAATGTAAGTACTCGTAGAATCACGGGTTTCAATTCAGACCCGAATGCCAGTAATGTTTCGATTTAGACCGGACTCGATCTCTATATGTGAACGCTGTCGATCACTTGTATGTGAGAACAAATTCATAGACAACTAATAATCACCTATGAGAGAGAGAGAGATACTAGTATGGTTCAACCCCATCCCCACCCTAGCTAAGGACCCCTCCCCACCCTATGCCCATTTCCTCCCTTTATATGTGTCCTCTTCCCTTGCAATGCACAACTAAACCAACCCTACAAGTTACCCTTCTCTCTCTCTCTCTCTCTATTTTTCTCCTCTCCTCTACTTTGTGCTCAATTCTACAAGTAAGATATATATATGATCCTTCTTAATTAGCTTACTTAGGGAAGACGATGAATTATATGTGTGGGTGTATGTATATGTATATATATAGATACACATGCATTATATTGGAGAAACACATATGTACGTATGCGTACATAATATGCCTGGCTCCCTGTATGCCATTTGCGGAGCTCATCAAGATTTTGATGACCCTCCTTGAATGGCGTATGAGGAGCCAAGCATATTCCCGGCCACCTCGTGTATATACATGTGTTAGTCTTTTTAAGATGGATCAATTTTTTTTTAATATCAACGTTACGTTTGTTTAATTTTTACAGTATAGTACTCCGTAGTATTTATTACGGAGTACTCGTTATTAGTTACTCTGTATTAAATTATACTCCTTAACTCTTAATTCATTTATTTTTGTG